AAGCCATGCAAGAGAGAGAACTTCTACAGTTTTGCACAAGAGGAATCATCAAAGAGCCAAATGAAACCTTAGATCTGCACAAAACAGAAAAATTAATCCTGAAGTTTACAGGTAACCACTGAACAAGTGAGAGCAGCTCTTGAAGATCAAGTGATGTTAATGATGCAATAGTTGTAATAATTTTATAACACATCCTCAATATCTGAGTTCTCACAGCATAAAATATTGATCCTCTCCAGATCCCAAAGAGCAAACTGAATGTTTTGGAACACAATTTCTCACCTACCTCGAAGTAAACATACCCTCAATCCAACCTCCAAGACTACTCATTGTACAACCTACATGCCAGACCAACATGACACGGAGTCAAGCCAAGAATCTCCAGCATCCAAATTCAGGGCTATCCTGAAACGACACAAACAGTCAAGCAGTCCAGCACTTGTGTTTTATGGACCTGATCACTCTGGGAGCCATTCTGAAGACAGTCGTAATAGAGAGAAAAACAACTGTGTGAGTCCACATTAATCTCTATACTTCAGTAAACTGGGGGAGTTTGTTTTGGTCCTTGAGGTTTTTTATTTTTCTGGTTTACTAAAGAGAAAACATAAGGAGAATAATAGCCTGCAAGCTGTTGTAGTAGAATAACATCTAGAAGGCTCTAATCATCAGTGTGAACTGATTTTATAAGATTTCAGAGCTGACTGGGAAAAAAAAATGGGCTAAAGGGGTATTAATTGAAAAAAGTGAAGCAGAATGCTGGGAAAACAAACTTTGTTCCCAGAAACCAAGAACTGGGAATAACTGAGGCCTACCAAGGTAACCTAAAACCACAGCTGCCACTACATAATAAAGCCTATTTTTCCATGTTGTAATCTTTGTTTCTTACTTTTATAAAACCCAAACCAGACAAGAAGAACAAACCAAACCTAAACCAAAATCATCTACAGGGTTTTAAGTCAACATACATCAAGATCAGCTCAAGTCCCAAAGGGAAGCCTCGTAGGAACAGAGCTGAGCTGGGCACTCTGGGACACACCACGGCCAGAATTGCGAGGATGCTGACTCGGGACTGGTCTGAGAACCAGACTGGCACTTCCAGCTAAGAAGAGGCACTCCCAGGACAGCCTTGCACTCAACAAACACTCAGCACCATGCACCACATCCTCAACACTTGGGTGTGAAGCCTCCACAGAGATAGCGAGGATCTACAGGAGCTCAAACCATGCCCATGGCTCCAGGTGGGACACAGCAGCCTGCAGAACTCCTGTAAGAGACCTGAGACAGCCAAACCCACCTCTGGTGTTCCATTTCCTTGTTTTCTGGCTCCCTTTAGGGCTGAGATTATCTGGATATCCCTGCAGTGTCTAGCAAAACAGAGCTGTCCTGATCAGGGCCACTGGACAGCACAGAAATGTAAATACTACTCAAGAACAAATGAAACTCAACATAAACCCTTCTAGACTGACAAGACCTGGCATCCAAAGAAAACAAGGAATGCAAAGTATATCAGGGTTCATTCTGGGATACAGAATGCTGGAGACTAACACAAAAGCACAGAATGTCCTCAATGCACTTTTGCTGTAAAAATTGTGCACATTTAAATGAGCCCCTATAATTAATGCCATGAGAATGTGGCCTTATCTTAAAAGCAGCCCATTGTGTCTTCCCTTTTTTTCTTCTATTAAAGGCTAGTAAAAATGTTTATATTGTGGAAGATTAATTAAAGAAAAATCAGACTCTTTATAGACTTTACTCCTATTAAGCCCTGCCTGGGATAATGTAAATGATGCTAAGGAACCTACCGTGAGAAATTAAGACTGTTTGCTCTGATTGAACAGATTGTCTTATAGTGCAAAAACTCCCCTAAAGTCTGGATGTTTCATAGGGGAATGTACATTTTACTGAGCTCCTGGATCTAACCATAACTTAAAATTACTACTTCCCAGGAAATAACTTCAAGATCAGGAAATTTACTGGGTTGAAAATGCAGATCAAATGCTGAAGATCAAGATGCTGCAAGAGAAGAAAAATAAATACGTACCAAAAAACCCAACACTGCTGATTCTGCCCACAGAATATTGCCTGCTTCTCATGCTTAAGCAGAGCAATGTATGTTAAATACATACAAGCATACTTACACACTTTTGGCCAAAAAAATAAGCTTACCAATCCACAGGTGTCCAGTTCAGCACCTCAGGCAGCCACTGACTACCTGTGACAAAATTAGGACACAGGACCTGGAGCCTTCCCAGGACATACCCCTGGGCCTACACAAAGGTCAGTGACGGACAAAATCTCCAGCTCTGCAGTTATGGGGTGTGCGTTAATACTGTAGCAGTTTGCAGTGGGACTAATATGCTTCTAATAAAATATGTCTGTTTGATGGTAGAGCTGTTCAGTTTCACCCTTCTGTCACCCCTCAGCTGGGAACTTCCTACGAAGGAAACAGGAGCTTCCCACATGTTCCCTCCCAAACACCACACTGAGAGCTGCTGTCACTCCCCTTTCCAAGTCACCTGCAATGCAACTGATACCAAATCATATTTTGTAAACATCAGAGCAAATGAAGACAAAGGCCAGTGCGTAGCCACGTAAAAATGTGTGGTTTAGCAAGAAATTCCAAAAGGAAGGAGATGCTCTTTCCTGGACCTTTCTGAAAACCCTGCTGGAGTAGTTCAGGTGCAGAGCTGATCCCAAATACTCCGTGGGCAGCAAGGGAAGCTGCTGGCAGCCTGTGGCTCACACATTTTGGGCATGACCTCATTCTTTACTATCACTTTTCATTTCTGTTGCAGTGTTTTAAAAACCAAAGCTTGACATAATTTTTGTATTATGTACCTTTCATTATTACTTAAGGAACACCAAGACTCAACTGAAAGTTATAAAAGAAACCATCCCTTCCTCACAACTCAGTCTCATCCAGAGAGAAGGGAGTACCATCACATGTCTTTGTATCCAAACACACACACCAAATAGTTCTGCTGATTTACAATGGGCTTCCTTCTCTGAAGGGAAGGCCAAAGCTAATGTCACTTAAGCAGCATTTTTTGGAATTAATTACATAGCAGCAGTACTGCAGAATTTTCCTAAGGAATTTTGACTTTCAAAGACATATTTCCTTCTACTTAATAGTAGAGATAAATCTTATATAATGCAGAACCATTACATTATCCATATTCCAGTTTATATATATATATATATATATATCTACATTAAAAAAGAATTGTTAAAGTGATTGAAGACACTGCTTTATCTATAGGGAAATATCTGTCTTCATCAATCCCAATTACCTTAAAACGTCTGCAAAAATCAATGCATATTGGAATTTCACGGATTCCTTGAAATATAAAATTTAATGTTACAACTTTTTTTTCTATTTGATCATATCAACCCAAATCAAATTTAAGCAATGATTACTTATCAATCCATCCAAAGCAAGAGAAGTTTTCCCTTCCAACAAGCAGCTGTCCTCATAGACAACTAATAATTTAGTCTTATTTTAAACCATTTGGAATGGTTTAAATAACCATTTGCTGTAATATCAACATAATCTGCTTTAATCCAGCCTCTGAACTCTCCTAGAAGTTACTTTTACACCTGCCTTTTTACTTCTCAAATGAATCACTGAACACCCTATTTCCCCAGCAAGAAAGAGGCCAACACTCAATTCCTGCAGGACCCTAGGGAAGAACAAACAGCACATGGAAGTGGGCCTCAGAAGAGTGAAGACAACTCTACCCAAACCCTGTCCTAGGCAGCATTCTGTGCTCCACACTGCTGCAACAGGATTTGCAGAGTGTAACCAGGAAAAATGACATGTTTAACATCCGAGATAGTTAAACTTCCCTCTAATCATAAACTTCATCTGGTAAGTTGCTTCAATTCCTCAGCATCCGTACAAATGGTGTTCTTTTTCGTCTTTGTTCGCGAGGCAGAGCTCCTGAGAAGCTGGGAAGGTACCTTGGCTGCCACGGAGCGCAGGTTCCAAGGGATACACGAGGCCTACAGGGAATTTCGTGCCCCAGACGCTGATTCCACCGGCAGCGGGGGGAACACCTGCTATACCACCCCTCCGACCCCGCCGGTAACACTCGTAAAGAGGAAACTTCAGGAGGGAGCCGGAGACCACCCCTGAAGCCAAACACCCGGCAGCAGCTTCCCAACCTCGCCAAGCCGAGCCAGGCTGCTCCAGGCGCCGCTTCCCTCGCAGCTTCGGGAGAATCCGTGCCCGAAAAGCACCTGCACCGCGTACCGAGGCCAGGCATAGGGAGGGGGAGGCAGGATCACTCCGAGCCACCTTCGCTGCTGCTGCTGCCGCCGGTTAAAAGGGACCCAGCCCAGGCCCGGCTGCCCCGGAGCGGCTCCCGGGCAGCTCTCAGCCCGGCCAGGCCCTGCCGCGGCTGCCGGGGATGCGGATCCCGAGGGAAGGGGGGGATGGAGCGGGGACACGGCGGCGGCAGGCCCGCCCCAGGCCGCGGGGAAGAGGGAAGGAAGCGCCGAGCAGGGCATGGAGGGAGCTCCTCCACGGCAACGGAGAGAGGGAACCCCGCGCCCGGCAGGCCCGAGGCGGGCGGGGAGAGGCGAGGAAGGAGGCGAAGCGGGGCTGTAACCCGGTGCAGAGGAGGGTCCGCGGGGTCCCGGCCCGGGGGGAGGGAAGCGGGGGAGGGCGGCCGCACTTACTCTCATTTAACACCTCCAGCAGCTCGGCGCAGCTCTCACACATTGTTCATTAACAGCAGCAGCCGCCGCCGCCGCCTCCTCCCGACCATTGATTGATCCGCTCGGTGCTGCTGATTGATGATTGATGGGGGCCGGGGCGGGGGTCACCGGGGGGGAGGGGAGGGAGGGGGCGGGAAGGAATGGGAACGGGGGGGGGGGGGGGAGAGGCAGGGGCCGGTCTGGGATCCGGGGCGGCTGATCAATGCAAATGAGCCTGTGGCGGCGGCGGCAGCGGCGGGGAGGAGGAGGAGGAGGAGGAGGAGAAGCCGAGTCACTCACTGGCTCCCAGGGACACCACGCGCCGCCATTTTGCTGAGGGGGAAGGAGGAGGAGGAGGCGACGGGAGCGAAGGGGGGGACAGGGCGCTCGGGCGCCGCTCGGCAGTTTCCGACCAGGCAGGAGGACGCGAAGGTGGCCGAGTCCCTCCTCCTCCCTTTTCCCTCTCGCCCCGCCTTCCCACCGCGGTTCCGAGCGGCGGGATGGCGAGCGGGGAGGAGGAGGCAAGGGGGCGGGAGCGTAAAATGGCGGCGGTGGCGGTTGGGCGCGCGCCCGGGGAAGGGCGGGAAGCGCCTCTCCCTGCCCTGTCCCTGCCTTCTCCCTGCCTCCCGCGGCCGGGAATCACCGCTAGGAACGCGCGCACGCCGCCGCTCTGACAGCGGCGGGGGAGCGGTTTCTCCTGCCCGCCCCTTCCCTCGGTGCCTGGAGCCGCGCTCGCCGGGCTGCCTCGGGGACCTCCCGCCTGAAGAGAGCGCTTAGCACACTAAGCCAAGCTCTGTGGCGAGGTAGCTCCCAACTTCCAGGCGCGTTTCCAGGTCTTTTGGGTGGTTTCTTGGCGTTTTCCGCCGTCGGGGCGCGGGACGGAAGAGCCGCCATCTCCTTCCCGCCCAGCGCGGCTGAGGAGAGCGGGGGTACCTGTGGGCGCCGCCGACCCGGACCCCGAGAATGGGCGTTTGGAGGGCTACGGTAGAGTTTTCTACTAATAACTAATTTATTTTTACCTGTAGTTTTCCGCCCTGGTTTGTTGGGGGTGGTTTTTTTTTGCCCCCTCTTCTTGCACCGTGATTTATTTTATACAGTCTGTAATGGCATCTGTGACTGGCTGGAAATAGCTTTTTCTAAATAAAAGACAAAATCAAAATGAACGAAAAGCTTTAATTAAGGATACGTTATTCATGCTCTTTTGACTACCGGTTAGTTCACTCTGGCTTGGGTTCGTTTTGAATGAGGTTTCAAACCCATGCATGACAAAAAAAAAATGCCCACCTTTTTTTTTTTTTTTTTTTTTTTTTTTTTGCCATCTCTCAATCCTGCTCCGTCTCCCAGGTACATGTATCTGGAATATGGATCACATGATCCTGATCTTGGCTGGTTTTTCTCCCCAAAGCTGGCACTTCCCGAGTATGAAGCGCTATTTTTTATTTCTGTAGTACCACCCAGTGGTGAGTCCGTGTGTTACTCTGAATGCTTCGAGATTACCGACGCGTACACGGGAATAAAACCCCAAATCTATTAATAGCCGCAATGCAGATGCAATATAGTTTAGCAGAAAGTCAAACAGAATCACCAAATGAAGGCGGGGAGAAAAAAAAAAGTTGTTTTGAATTTTTCAGTGGCTGTCTCGTATTTCTTCCACTTGAAATAAATCTGCTGGCATTGTGGCAATGCAGTTCCGGGTTTTTTTTTTTAATTCCATGTGCATATTTATCCAGGCTGATAACACCGTGGTGGTTGTGCATGTAGCCTCCCACTTCAGGCCACAGAATGCTCAACTCCAAACAATCCTCTAGGTGTCACTTAGTAAAACTAAGATAAAAAATCCCACTGCTGTTCAAAAGTAACAGATAATTAACTGTAAATAACAGGTAGGGAACAACTACAGTGCAAGTCAGGAATATACTAGAATGTTTCACCCAGAGTTCGTGTTACTGCTTGGTTTTGAAATATTTTCCAAGTCAGGGTTCTCAACAAAGATAGCTATACCTAAATATTCCCTGCTGAAATTTCCTTTTACTATTTTAAACTAATACAGAAAATTAACTTGAGAATTTACAGAGGACACAGATTCCTTGTCTGTCTCTCACTTTAATCCACATAACATGTTAAAGCAAATGTATTTCAAAGGGGAATAACGAGAGAGGTTGAAGACTGAGTAAAAACCTAAAAACTTCCCTGAATCTTTGTACTGATCTTTCTCCTTAGATTTAATGTATAGATATTTTAATTCTTGACAGTGTCTTTTCTAAATTACATATTTTCTATTGATAGAAATCTGACCAGCATGAGCTAGTTAGCTCTTATACTGGTTACATCACTAAGCCTCCGTAATAATAACAACTATTTAATAGCTAACTGGTTTAGTAATTAAAATGACACAGATGTACTGGACCCTGCAAAGCCTTTTTTGGTTGCTTCATCTTTTCCAGGTAGCCTGAGAATTCATAATGGAAGAATAAAAGGAGTCCAGAACATTGCAATTATGTTCTGCTCCTGCTTGAATTAATGAACACCTTTCTCTTCTACAGAACCAATTTCAAAGCTTGATGTCCATCTAAAGGTAGATCAGAGAATTTTATGTTGTGTATCCACATGTGAGTGTTCACTTGATGTTGTGCTGCCTAACCTTCTGTGTGTCCAAGATGATTTTAGTTACTGTGGAATACCTCACTCTACAATCTGCATCACCTCATTTGAATTTGCACTTTTCTCTCTGCTCTTTCTTCTCAAGCAGGCCCTGCAGTAACTTCTACAGCAGACTCAAAGAGAACTGCCAGAACATTTTCAGAGATGGTTTTCCTGAGGAACCAGCTGTTTGATCTGAGTGCAGCCACACGCAAACACCGGAGTCAGCAGAAGGGACCTTCTGGAGCATGGTGTCACATGCCAAGCTCAAGGAGTACAGCAGAAGAACACGGGTGACCTTGAATCACTCTTGCTTTTGAGCAGAACGAAATATTGAAAGTCTGATTCCTTTTACTGCACACTTTTTTTTTTTTTTTTTTTTTAACTAGAGACTAAATTGAATTATTTTAAATTAAATTAAATGTTAGCTTCCAAGCTGAAGACAAGACCTGTCAGTGGCCTGTTTACAGAGATCATCAGCCTCCTGCTCTTGCATGCTTTGTTCTTCCCCTTGACCTTGATTCTCTCTGTGTGCCATCCCAGCCAAGGTTGTTTTATCCCCAGGAGGCCTCTTCCCCTCCCCTGGCTGCATTGCTCCTCATCTGGGAATATTTGCTCTGGTAAAGTGCCAGCACAGTTCTGCTAGAGAACAACTTCTTCGTATTTAGATAAATGCAAGACTTAGGCAAAAACTAAAATTTTTTATCCAAGTTGGGACTGGATTAAGAGCAAGATCATGAATTTTCAAAATTCACGTTCCAACGTTGAGCTAGCAGCTTAACTGGAGTCCAATTAAATCTCTCTCCAGTTAAACCTCATTTCTGGAATGCTGCTGGAAGCCACGAGCAACAGAGTCAGTTTTAAGTTTACCCACATTTAAGTTTCAGCATTTGACTTTTATTGCTCTTTTAGCATTCTAAACTTTTTAATAGGGTCCATATGTCTAACTAGGCTTTGGTGTCACGGCACCCCAAGAAGACAAATCCAAACTGATTTACCCCAAAGAATACAGAATAATCAAAATTTGGCCACAAATATCATATAATACAGACAAGGCATTTCTGAGCATGAGAGACTGCCACCAGAAACTGAACCACTACCAAAGTGGTGCAGGCAGCTTCTCTTGTACATTTGGACCTCTTTCAGACTTTTAGTGGTGAAACACACATTTGCAGTGTTGCTTTGGAGAACTTTGCCTGTCTGGTTAGCAATGTCCCTGTTACAATAACCAGCAGTGGTGTACAAAATGGGCTGGAGCCTGCTCTCCAACACAGGAGGGGAAATTTTAACTCCCCTCCCCACTCCAGTTGTTAAATTGGCCCATTCTTTTGATAATCTTTGCTGAAATCACAAGATCCACAAAAGATTGCAGACTCCAAGGCTCAGGAAAAGCTGAGAATATTGAAAAGGATTTAAGATTTGAAAGGTGCTCACAACCAAAAAAACAGCCCCCCCCAAAAATACTCATTTGAGACTGGGAATCGATTACCCAAGAAAACACCTAGGAAGAAGTGCTGGATGACTCTTATTTACAAGTAAATAAAAAATGAAAATCCGAGTGTCTCATTTTCTTCCATACTCTTAACCTCCAAAAAACTCCTTCCTCAATCCCATTTTTCCCTATACAGACTTAAAACACAAATAAAGTGCTCACAGGTTTGTAGGTCTAAAATCTGGGACTTTTAGGTAGTTGAGGTGCATTGTACATGGGATAATGATACAAAAAATTATTCCCCCAATGGGAATGGCCCAGCCTTTTCCCAAGGGAACCCTGCTGACAGGGACAGCCTTGGACAATGAAATGAGGATGTGGATGTCCTGAAGCTGAAAGCCTAAACATCAATTCAGTCTCGATGATTAAAGTTCAGAGAAGCATTCTGGATGGGCAGGTGGACAGGATTATTCTTTTAGTGATGGTTTTTAAAGAGTTATCTCCAACATTCCAGTTTTGCTCTGTAACACCTGGAGACAAACCTAGCAAGGGGGAGAAGGAGGTTTAGCCACACCTTCCAGCACCCGTGGAGGCTGGGATCAGTAATTACCATTTACCCAATGATAAATGCACTCTGGGACACTCTGGTCCCTCACCACAGCATGAAGGCAAATTCCTCACCTGAGGCAGTCTCTGCATTTTAATGCATCAATTTCAGAATCTTTTCCGCTTTCTTTTTTTCCCCTTTAAGCTGAAGTTTTATTGCTTTTCCAGTGCTAAAAACTACCAGCAGTAACTCTTAAAGCTTCCTAGAGAGATGAGCATTTCTAAAGCTTTTTTTTTATTTGCATAAATATTAGCTTTATTGGAAAATAGTTCACTAAAACCAATCAGATTAACACACATCAAATTATTCTAGTTTAAAAAACCAAAACCAACTAAAATCCTTTGGAAGATAATCTGCTTCAGTTACAGTAGCAAACACATCATGGCTGCCTGAAACAAGTACTTGGGGTGTCTTCATCAGCTGACAATCAATCCATGTAAACACAGAAAACACCCCAAAATATTTGTATTTATCAATGTAGCTGGAGTACACAACTGTTTTGTTTTTCCTTTTTTTTTTTTTTAAGGTAAATCTGTATAGAAATATGCACAAAACATTGGTTTACATGTAATTACAAGTTATGGAGATGTTTATACGATAGTTCATGCTTTTTATCCATGTATTTTGATTTACAGAGTGTGCATTAAAACTGGAACTTTCTTAGATGTACACATCTTTTATTTTTTTTTTCACATTCAGGATAACTGCACTAGAAATATGCACACACACAAGTCAAATCTTTAATGGTATCCAGAACTCCACAGAAGCTGCATTTTTGTAACAGCTGCAGAGATCAGGGAAAGGCACCAATTATCTTAAGAGAACAAGACAAGACCACAGTTAAATTTTTAGATCTAAAAGGGAAGGAAACCCTAAGATTAGAATGTTGTTACTAGAGAACTCTTAAGGTATCAAAATAACCAAACAACTCTTCTTTGAATTAACATAAAAAATACATTTTGGGTTTGTTGTTTGCGAGTTTAGGTCACATTTAAATCTTCAGTGAACAACCAGACCGTGAGCCTCAGCCTGACTCCAACCTTGAAGGAAGGAAGGAAGGATCATAAATACATATGTGTGTATTTTTGTCCAGAACTGTCCTGAATGTAGAGTCAGAACCAATTCAACATTCAGCTCTGTGACTCACGAGATGTGATCTGCCATCATGCTATTGGTGGGGTTTATTTCCATTTTAATAACCTTCTCTTACTTCTCTGCACAGCTTTTGGTAAGTTGCTGCAACTCAGCCTGCTCACAAGCCACTTCATGTCCTTTTCCAGATGTGTCCTTCAACAGGACTTCAAACGCTGCACTTTAAAGTGCCCAATTAAGGCAATACTGAATTGAGGGTGGAGCAGAAGGCTCCACACTGACGGGAAGACATTAAAAAGCTGGAACTGGGAGCTTTAAGGAGAGTAAGAAATGGGTTTTGTAACTGGCAGTATTTTGGGAGGCTGTATGCAGTCTCAGCCATGGGAGCTTGAGGAGGTCTCCAAACAGTGCCAGCTCAGTGCCACTGCCCATGGCCCTTCCCGTGGCAGCAGCTGAGCTTTGCCAGGGCTAAGCACGCGAAAGGAACAGGAGAAGCCAAAAGTCCAGCCTGGAAACATCCTGGGCACAGCTCCACCCTATAGGAACACCACTAACTCATGCATTTCTACACCAAAGGAACACACAGCACAAAGCTAACAACTACAGCACCCCAAGGGGCACACAAGAGCCCCACGCCTGCCTGGCTCCTGTGGCGGCTCTCTGCCAATGGCTACACTTCATCCCAGTAACAGCCTGGAGACGACAACAAGTCCATGGAGAAACTTTGGGAGAGCTCAACACTGACTGTTAGAGAACAGAGACAAGACACAACAGAGATGGGGAAGCCAAGACTGTACACAACCTAAGTGTTCATACTGCTTCATATATCTGTGAAAATCATTTAACTACAAAACTTTAGGTAAAAAAATAACCGTAGATCTTGTCTACACGTGTTATTAACATGGACTATTATTAACTGTTTAGTCAAGATACAGTGCAATACCTCTTTGAAATAAATTGCAAAGAGTCCAGAGAGAGAAAAAGCAAGAGTACCTCATTCCTGGCATTTTATAGTAACGTGGTATGGAATAGTTATCCACGGAGGTAAGTCAGAACAGCTACTGTACTTGCAAATGGAATCCAACTTAGTTCATGGTAACTTCAAGCACAACCAAAGTCCTTGAGATGAGGCAAGCCAGAAGCACCAGTTATCTACACCTTAAGGAACTTTTCCTATGCCTTCAAATACAAATCTTAAATACGATCACAGCATTTTCATCCAATAAAAGAATAAGCCAAAGAAAGAAAAATAAATGTAAACCAAGTTTATTTTGCTCTTAAGTAGTGTTCTTTACGCACTACAGCATGGTAAACAATGTAAATTAGTATAAGTCATCTCAAAAGCCAGTTGTTTTTTTTTATTTTATGAGTTGTTAAAAAGATGCAGCCTATTCTAACAGGATAAATATTTTAACCATTTCACTTCGAGATCATGAAGGCTCACAAATGAGCAACACTCCTCATTGAGGAAAACAAAAAGCTGTTGTCGACAAAGCGACAGCACACACACAAAAACAAAAGAACTGTGTAAAAATAACTAACTGTACTGTGTTCCCATACTCTTTAGAAGTTGCTTTACAATGGGATGATATGCACATGATCTTGCTGCAAACTTGCCATACAACTTGCAAATACACATAGCCTATAGCCTTACCACTCAGTCCAGAAAGCTGTTAACTGATCAGAATAAATGCAGCACTAGAATCCTCTGCTTAACAATTCAGTCTGCTTTACTCTTTACCTTTCCTCCTAGACTGTAGGACAGACTAGAAAGAAAATTACTCCAAATTAGAAATCAATACTCTTAAAGGAAATTGTATTATTTTGCAATATAGTCTTTTACAAGTTACGCTTTGCCTATTTTCCCCTTAGCCACAAAATGGGCATGAAGTAATTACATTGAAAATGCCTTAATTTTTAAATTCATGCAAATCTAAATAAAGATGACCAAACAAAAGCTTAAACAATGGAAGGATATTTCACAGAAAATTTCTTATACAAAAAACACATAAGAAAAAGGGCCACTAGGTGACATTTTAATTTACAAATTGGCATCATTTTGGTCAACAAATATCCAAGTGCTGTTTTCTTCTATCACAACAAAGTAGCTGTACAGAAAGAAAACTGCAAAACTTGTTTTATTTTTGTTTTAATCGCACATCTCCTCAGGAATTTCATGTGGATTAAGGATGCCAGGTACAGACATCTGAAGTTTATGCTTCTCCTCTTGAGCCTGCCGAAGGGCTGTTTCTCTCTCCTCCAAGAATAAGTCTGATGTGTCTTCCCCTGCAAATTCCTGGGATAATTCACACAAAAACATCAGTTTATTGTCAAATGCTTAAGGCAGAGTAACAGCTTCCAAAATTATACATGAAACATCTTCCCTTCCCGTTCCCTGACAGGCTTCATGCATGGTTTTCTGTTCTTAAGGTCACAACTAATATAAAGCAATATTTAAAGATGTTCACCATGTGTTACAGAATGGGATGCCAAACCCAGCATCTGGAGTCTATCACCATTAAAGCAGAATCATTACAAGTCTGAAATACCTGAAAATTCATCTCAAAACTAATTAACAAACTATTTCCTACAATCTTATCATTCCAGCATCTTTAGAAAAAAAATAAAGTCATAGCATTAGGGTATTGAATTTCAAAACTGGTCCCAATTCCAAGCAGAATGAAAAAAAAACCAACTGGTTAAAACCACATTTATTTCTCATTAGATTTAGTTCTAATTTAGTTGGTTCAATTTCACACTTGTTTTAATTTGTTTTCAATTTCACACTTAGTTCCCATTAGATTTAGTTTTGCAGTTGTCCTAAGACATAAGGATTGTGTGCACAATGTAAAACACAAGCAGTGATGTTCAAACCCAATTTATGAAGCGAAATCCCAGTGGAACAGGTTCCATGAACACTACTTGGTCTAACAAGCCACTGGACTGAGTACTCACTGCATTTTAAAAAGATGCAAAATAACTTATATTTCTCAAACAAACAACAACTCCACACTTTCCAAAAGCTTTCCAACAATATCCTGCTGAATATTACTTTTAATTTCTTGAGAAAAGCATGCCCAACACACCTTGATTTGGACCAGGAAATCCCTTAGGTGTTCCTTGAAGGCAGGAATATCCTGGTTTAAACTGAAGAGTCCTGTTACGAACAGCTTAACCTGGGCACTAACAGCAAACACAACAGTTAGCATTCCAAGTAAGAACCCACCGAGAAGCATTAATGAATCATGGCAGACTTACTCTTGCAGGTGAGGAAATGCAGATTTGAGGAGATTAGCCACATACTCCTGAATAAACATTTGGTTGTTCACTGGATTTCCAGGGTTTAAAGGAGTACTTATCTTTCCCTCTTCTACCAAGTTGAACATGTAGGCAAGGATTGATGCATGCATTGTCAAACCTGCACCGATCAAAGGCACACATAGGCAGTTGTTATTCAGAACATCCTGTTCTGTGTGACATTATTTTGATGTTCAGAGGGGTGCTTTGCAGCACCTGCCTCACACACAGGCACGTTCTCACCTGCAGTGTGAGAGGTGTCTGTGACCACAGAGAAGATGTGCTGGAGGATATCGCAGAAATACGTCTGATAGAAGCTCTGGGCAGCCGTTTCCTCCTGTGCAACGTTCTGCAACAGGGTGTAAAGGATCTGAAGTCCTGAAAAACAGGCATTGAAAAAGTGACCAAGAGAACAGTATTCCAGCAGCTGGGAGATTTTGGCCTTTTCAAAACAACGGGAATATCCCAAGAAATCCTGATGAGCAGCAGGATGCCCAGCATGGCACACGTGATGGCTTTGTGAGGCACTGCCCCAGGCTGGCACTAGAGAGCACTGCCTCCCAGACACAGCACACCCCTTCAGCTTCATTATACTATCATTAGCATTCATTAGCATAAAGAGCCAATCACACCATTTAATGCGCAAAACCCTCTACCCAGACACATGTTGGCTATTTCAATAAGGAAAGATGTTTTAATGTTTGGATTTAAATGGAAACTTTAATTACTTCACTTGGTGAAATGCAAATGAAAAACATCCTTTCTCCCCATCCCTAAATGGCTAAAAGAATCACTGGTTCCACAATTTTTTGTGGCACCATTTTAAGCTGCTGCATCTGTTCAGCCATTTCAGAAGAGTGCCAATGTTCAGGTGACAAAGAAAGCAAGAAGAAACTGTAACAGTGCTCTCTTCCAACTACAGGAATGACTCAACAACCAAATAGCTCACCCATGGGTCCCTGGCTGACACCTTGGAGCTGAGACAGAGGAATTCTATCCTTGTGCTAATGAAGAATCATGTGCACAATATGCTAACTTTGATTAAAGAAAAGTAAGTAAAAGAACAGCATCGACTAGAAAATCTCTGACCTTTATTAAACACTTCCATTTACCTGTATCTGCAACATTTCTCATTGTGTGTTTGAAAGCCCAAATAATAGAATCCAGGACAAGTTTGAACTGTGCAGGTGGAATGGCCAGGAAGGCTGGGAAGCAGTGAGAATTTACAGCTTGAAGTAGCAAGAAGAAGTTTGTTCTATGTTCAGGATATTCTTCAAAATCCTAGAAGGGAAAAGGGGAAAAAGCCAAGTCTCCTTAAGTTCTGTCATGGCATCTTCCATTAAACAGAGCAAGTCAGTACACACTGCACACTTAGTGAGGAAATAAATACTTGACTGAGCAGTAATGGTGTTCTTACACTTTAAATATTTATCAATTTTAGCAGTTTGTCCTATACTGACATTTGACTTCTGCCTGAAGAAGTGCAGCACTCCAAGGCCCCAGAAAAATTACTAATGGCTTAAATGAAGAGCTAACCAAAGAAATTTAAAGCAATTTAAGATATCTAACTAGACAGTTCAACTGTAAAACAAGTACATTTATTTGAGCAGAAATTCTGTCAAGTGCTACAAATACACTCTGTGACTGGAAGAAAATCATGAATCCCAAGATCCCACACATTGCAATGATGTCCAGAGGAAGATGTCTTATCTCAGGTTTCAAAGAGAAATACCTTGTTGATCATGTTTAGTGTGCACTCAAAAACAGCATCAAAGATCTGAGGTATTTCAGCAGTGATGTGTCCCCCCAGCTTGTTGACAATGATAGCCATGGTACTGAGCACCTCGGGTTCCCGAGCGGCCGGCACATTCCGCTGGTAGTCGATGAGAACTGCATCCAACAACGGAGGAACAAAGTTTTCAGCTACCTGGTTGGAAGAGTAAGCCATGTTATAGAAGTGCAGGTACTGGGCAGAGTCTCCAGCACAGTTAGCAGCCAAGTTAGTTCCTCCTTCAGTAACAGGTAACAAATTTCCTGAGGAAGTTGAAGTTCCCATCCTCCATCTCCATATTAAATCTCCTTGTCTCCCCTTAGGATTACTCTCAGCTAAAATTAACTGAAGTATCTCAAGCATTGCTCAGGCTTACCTCTTTTAATTTCTCTTCCTCCATTATATTTTACACACCTCCTGAAGGAAGTTCTTGCGACCAAAAACTTAACACAAAGCAGAGTTCTTCTCAATTCTGTCTTAGGAGTTATTTGTATAAAATGCATCCACTTACCATCTGCGGATCATTGGACCTGCTCACCCAGCCAGAAATTAATTTTAAAGTTTCCCTTTTTACAGTCCTCATACTTCTAATCAAGGGCTGCTTTGTTACCATCTCACCTGGAAAATTTTAAAGCTTCAGTTAATTATGTGAGGTGCCAAAAAAAGCCCAAACAAAAAAACAGAAACAAATAAATAAAAACAAAAACACAATCCCCCTCAAAAAAACCCCACCAAATTAACCTGATATAATCAAAACAGAGAATACTTGATTTTTATACCTGAATTGGCAAAGACTATTAAAGACTACTAAAGACTTCCTTTGTCTTTAATCTTTGCCAGTTGTAAAAACATTCTGAGGCAACTGCAATCACAGTTGCTGCTCTAGGAGCTCACCAGGTCCACAGCCCCAGCAACTGCTTCCTCAACTTCACTGTATCTGGCAATGATGAATTCTGGCAATTAGATCAGCTGAATGAAAAGTTACTGATTTCTCTGCCAGTTCTATTCTGAATTCCGAGAAGCTACTTCAAGGTAAACCAGCTGTGCAGTTACCAAGCTGCATTTAACATTCCAGTCTCCAGGTACATCTTGTGCACTGGCCAGAAAACTTGGCACAGCACAGAATTCAGCAACTGACTCATTTCATCTTGTAATGGACTACTACAGAAGCACATTCAGCAGACATGCCACAGGCCCTAAGTTAACTGGTAAAAATAAGGGAGGTAATTGGGAATTCCTTCTGTGATTGCAAGCCTGGTTTACCAAAACTTTCATGCATCTTCACTCATTACATTTCTGCTAGACAGCCTCGTAGCAGCACACTCTCATCCTAAAACCCTGCTGACATTTTCTGAAGTAATGAATGAGATTCTATTTACAGACAGTTCTTTAATACTCGAAAGCAGAGCAAGGTAAAAGAACATAGGCTACATTGCATCTCAGCAGGATGCTTATCAATTTGAAGTGAGCATCCCTGGTGTTCTGCATTCTCCTAAACTTGATCATTTATAGATGTTTCTTCCTCCCTCTAAAGCTGGGTGTTCTTTATTTGAATACAACATCTGTTAAGAAAGAAAGATTTAAGCGAGCACTTTCAGTCCTTCTCCACTCTCCCAAACAGTAAAATTAACCTAACTGGGATGTACTCTGGAACCTAATGGCAGACACTGCTAAACCTCAATTTCAGGAAGAGCATGGAATTTCTTACCATTAGCCTGAATAGCTGCAGAAATATTTTCACTTAGGCACTTGTACACATTCAGCATATCTAAATAAATTCTTCCAAGCTGAATCACAAAGGGGTGGCCAACAGCTTTACATGCTCGTACATTGGTTTTCAGAATGCTACCAAGCTGCTTAACTGTTTCAGGATCCTTTAGAATATCAACATTCTGTGAAAACAAAAATAGACTTCATCTTCATTAGTGAACACAACTACCCTTTAGTTCTCAATATAAAAGCTTATGTTTAAATAATTTATTTTATACACTCTCTTAAAGAACAGATCGCTCAAATTTATGGACTTTTTATACAGATCCTGCAGTCTATTTCATGGCATTTGCCACTACTTCCAGACGTCAGGATAAAACTTCATTTCCTTCTGCTTTTCTGCAGAATTATTTTTGCTGCAGTGCTACAAGCATTACTCTAGTCAAAGAAGAAAAACTAAGGAGATTAAGAAGTTGAAAACAGATAGAAGGGGTCCAATGGAAATACAGTATGTTCTTGGGAGAAATCAGGGTAGGAAAAGTAACTCAAGCTTGCTTAAGGTTCAGGCCCTTAATTAGATTAAGTGCAAATGGGTTGTCTCTTGTGAAGTGCAAGACTGTTGTTCTTTAATGTGTAGAGATAAAAGTATTTTCAAAAGACTGAAATAAATAGAAGATAAAGTAAGAAAATATGTACTTTAAGAGAATGGCAGAAGCAGAAAGGAAGAACAGTGAACAGTATTTTTAGCACTTTAACTTTTCTGTTACCCAAAAGCCAAGTGAAAGGGAGGCATTAGAAAAAAAACTACTGAAATGAATTCTGTACAGTAACAGACTGTACTTCAAGTCAGATTTAAACAAGTATTTATTTTGTCATTTAAGTCTCCTCTCTCAAAACAACACCTTCATTGTCATGTCAATCTCTGTCTCAACCATCATATAATGAAGTCCAGCCCAACTCTGTGCAATTAGTGTGAAAAATACAATCAGGGGAGGGCAAACATTTAGCAGGGTTTTTGACCTGAACACAAAACACATTAAAATGGAAGAGCTCACCTTTGTTGCCTGCTGAATGATGCTGTCCCACACCTGGTTGGGCAGCAACATGTACTTTTCTATCAGATGCTCCTGCACAGTCTGGTCTGTCTGTGCCCCAATCATGTATCCAACTGCTTCGTAAAATGTGTGCACCTGATGGGGACAGCAACACCACAAACACTGAGGTTAAAAAGGACTAAGGAAAAACTCCACTTTACCAGACATGTTTGAATTGTGCACTGGCTCCCATCAATCCTGGAAGTATCTTTTTCCAGGTGCCAGATGCACTCTGCCTGAAGTTTCAGTACATTCAGTGTGCAGGTACACACTGCTCTCATTTCCTGAACCATGCCCTTCCCAGACGGATTTCCCCTTCCTTTTTTGGAAAGGACTGGATTTTGCATTTTCTCTTTTTGGACTGCTCTTCACTCTCTTCTTCCCAAATACAAGAGCTGTAGGTATATACTGTAGGAGTAGGATATCGCTCTTTCCCAAAGCAGAACTACCAAGTTACACGCAGTGTCCTCTTGAAGACATTCCAGAAATCAAAATTCCAATTAAATGCACTTTAATTCTCCTTCCAAACATTCCAACTGACATCTCAGCAATGCAATTTGATCATGGTATTCATACCCTGACACTGTCCCTAAAAAATATAATTCAGCCCTTGCAAAACACCCCTACATTTCAACAGGAAGAACTGTGCATTAATCTTTAAGAATTATCCAAAACCCCAAACAGAACCTACCTGTTGTGGCTGAAGGTCACATATAATTGTGTTAATATTGTTCAAGATTTCATCAATAAATGGCATGACCTCTCCCACCTGAACCTGGACAAAGTGTCGGCGGCATTTTTGTGCTATTTTTATGAAGGTATCACAAGCCATGTCCTGCACGCCATCATGAGTTTCTAAATGAAATAAAGGCAGTTACTGCTTTGTATTTTTTCCTCTCCATGTATAGGCATCTTTTTTTTTTTATAATTAAAACAGCAAATTTAAAAAGGCAGATAATTACCATGCATAAATTCAAACAGCTTGTTGACTACTGTCTTCAAAAATTTCCAGTGAGCTCTCAAAAACCGTGGGTATTGACCTACTATATACATTATATTTGATGCAATAATGGCTTTATTGTCCTTTCCTCGTTTTTGTTCGCAGAGTCCCAGGAGATCCTACAACACAACAGATTCTTAGTTTCCTGTTCAAGTTTGTCTAGTTCCACCAAAAGCATTACAAGCACAACATCCTATAAGTAGCTATATTAAAGGTGGTTGCCCACAATCAAGCTCAAAATCCAAATGAAGAAATAAAAGCCCAAACAAGTCCATTAAGACTGGGGCGATGCAATCATTTCGGTCTCATCCAAACCCTGATCACTGTGTTTTAACCTAAGAAATCTCCATTTTAAATTATAACTAAGGATTCCCGCAGGGTGAGTTCAACAAGCCTTACAGTACTCAATACTGGCTGAGTAAAATACAGACTCCACATCAAAGAGATTAAACTACATCTTCTGTATGACTAAAAATGAAATATTCTATAAGCATGTTTGTATGACTTATTAAAACCCATTAGTCTTGTAAAAATATTACCCACATATTAACCAAACTTCAAGTTTGATCAATGAATATACAGATACAGCAAAAGAGCAAGGTGTTAGGCTAGTTAGAGTCATGGATTACTTTGTCACTGCTGTATCTCATAAGGAATCCCTTTCCGTACCTTCTGCATCCCCAAAGTATACATTAAACCATAAACTAAAATTTATCTGATGAAAAGGCTACCTGGATAAACGCATTGTTCATCGCTAACTTATTCATCACTCCTAAATTCAGGATGGAAGATTTCCCATTCATTTATTCTTATCCACCGAGGCAGCTTTCTAAGATCACAGAGCAGTATGTGTGCAAGCTTGGTATCCTCAGCACAAACTGAAGTGTAACCAAGCTGTTAGTTCTGCCCCACCATACCTTAATTACTGTAACCAGGAATCTCTTTTCATCTTCTTCGTGCATGGCGCCGCTGATGGAGCCAATAGCCCAGCACAAGGTGTTCAGATTCTTCCACGACCACTCTGTTCCATTCACTTGATTGTGAAGCTTTTCAGTCATAATTCGTTCTGTGTCTGCATAGTCCAGATGTGTGAGATAAACTGAAAGACATCAACATGGAATCTTTTAAAGCAGCAGCCTGGAGCTGAACCCCAAAAGTAGTTACGTAAGTACTCACTGAAGCTCTTGGGTAAAAGTGTCCTGCTTCCTTCCTGAAGTCCTGACATCACGAGGCAGAAATTTGTTCAAATTATTTTAAAGATGGACAACAAATTTTATTGAGAAGGTATTTCAGCAAAACATCACATGCAGGTGATGTGAAAAGTCTAAATCAATGCATGTCCCATGTGATACCAAGGCAAATTTTTATCAAAAGGCATCTGCACTGAAGGCCTGTAGGGAATATGGGATTGGCTGCCTCTAGAGGACATTACACAGTTTGTAAGCTCATACATTCTCTTCAGCTCCGTATTTTATTGCTGGTTGCAATAAGCCATGATTAAAGTGGAGCTGGTGCTCCTGAACAGGTCTAGGTGGAAGATTCAGGTATCACAACTCAGTCACTTGCATCAGCCCCTAATAGGATTATTGTCGCCAATATAAAACTCTTAAATCCCAGCAAGTCAAGAGCAATTTCTGGCCAGGTTCAGAAACAGATTTTTACTGTACCACAGAAAACAACGACATTCTCCCCCCTTTTTTATTTCCTCCAAGTGAATCTTATAGGTAATACAACAGAAGCAATACAAACCTGACCTGCATTTTCATAGAAATAATCTTGTATCTGGCAAAACAACTTAGGCTCAGGACATACAGCAATTGTTTCACAAAACAAAAATGGTTTTCATAATCCACATGCAAATGTATTAAAACAATTTAACATTAGCTATACCTACATCCCCAGCAGACAGGTGAGAATAAAAACACCCACTACACCCACATACACTTTGCATCTCACGAGTTTTCCAACATACACATTCCTAGTGCATCAGCCTGATGCTCAACACTCAGTGTTCCCATCTGCATTTGAGAAAGTAAATATTTAATATTGAGTAATGTCCTGAATATCTGACAACTTTACTCCCTTTGCTACCTCAGGTTACGATTTGGACTCTCAATATTGTTTCCTGCCTCAAAAAACTCATTATCACTGCAATACCTAAGGACAAAATTAAGCAGTGTATTACTACTCCATCAGGTTCTAAAACACTACATGCCTCAAACAGGAAACTTCAGAGCAGCCACTGCCTCCTCCCTTTCCAGTCTGTATAGTACTCTTTGCTGATAACCATTTCACCCACACAGTAATTCAGATGCTAAGATAACATACTGTAGCACTCTGATGCAGCTGCACAAACCCACAGCACACAAACTGCAGCCAGTTCACTTACCCAACGTTTCTCTCATATTTTTATACAAGTTTATGGAATCCGTGTCCTTCATGAATTCCCGAACTACCTCCCCTTGATCATTCTCCACAACCAGGACTTCTTCAGGCTTGGCCATGCGGCTGACCATGAGCAATCGAACCTGGGAGAAGTTAAAACTCCATCAAACTGCAACCACCAACACTCCCAGCTGCACAAGTGTCTCCAGAGCGCTCTGCCCAGGCAGCCTCAACCACAGACAGGTTATTATATCCACCTATCCAGACATGTCAGCTAACAAGCCATTGAAGACAGTGCTTGCTGACTTCTCTCCCTCCAATGAACAAATAGAGTACTTAAACCCCAACCTATGTAGTATTTATGCTACAATAGTAACTTCAAAATGCTTATGTCATATTAGGGGACTTTTAAGGACCACTGTTCCCAAAACACATGGGTTTTCCCTCCAACTCTAACATCCCAGCCTTTCTGTTTACAGAAAGTGCTTAATACAGATTTATGTTAAAATTAAGTATATTTAAAAAGCTGAAATATCACATTAATTATCTTCTTATATATTGGTGTAATCCTAAAGTATTTTCACATTGATTGAGTTGAATCAACTATAGACTACTCTAAGGTGAATTTTCTTATGTCACTCCTTATACAAAGTGAAATCTCTAATTCACAAACAGAATCTGAATCTTCAGAGTGCCTTCACTTGAGCATGGATTACCTTGGACAAAACAGGCAAATAAAGCTGTCTCCTTGGAGGAACATCGAAGTGTTGGCTCCCTGAAAGCAGCGGCGAAGCTGATGTGGAGAACGGACTTTCCCTGTAGAGCTCAGCTGCTAAATGGTTCCAATACTCCAGACAAATCTTGAAAATTTCCGTTTCTTCAACTTCTGATACCAACAACATGTAATGAAGAGCCTGGAAAAGAGTGGTTTGAACACCCAATTAGTGAGTATATCTGCAGGTCAAACCACATTGCTTCAAGTTCAGTTATCCAAATCCTGACAAAATGCCAAATGAATCTGAGAGTTTGGAACAAGAGGCATTAACATTGCAACAACATTACTTACAGGTCAAGAGTTGTGACTGGCAGAGCAACTCCAAACCAAGAACTCCCATCACTTATTGTTATTTTCAAAGTGTGTTTGTATTCTTAAATCTGAAATAGCCTAAAGACATCTTAGAAATGCCATCACCAAACCAGCCTGTTTGTAAATTATCAAACCCACAGCCTCTGGAGATTCTACCAGGCATCTTCAGAACCTCAAAAAAGCCTCACCAGCTGGTGTCAGTGATTGCTATTCTCAAGACTATTGCTGCTACTTTGTTCTGGATCCTTTGACCTTGGAATACTGCTTAGCTTTCAGAGAAGTCATCTATCAGAACATTTTCAAATTCTTTCCTGACAGAACAGCCAGAGCAGGCTGAGCAGGGAAAGCCACTGATGCAATTCTGACAAGCTCAGATACCAACCAAAGAAATTAAAACTACACAGACAAACCTTTTTTGCCTAAGCTTATTATGCAGTCCCTGGTGAAAGATATCAAAGCAATTGCCCATTAGTGAACAAACAGAATGAAATGATAAAATCTGAAGATATTTTCATAGCTTAAATACTCCAACAACTTAAGCATTTTGAAAGGAAAGACCTGATTCAGTATCTCCACCTACACTGTCAAAAGAGGGACTCAGGACAGCCATACATTAATCTTTATTTCTCTTGGTAATATCACTTAAAATGACTGATGTAGAGTCCTCTGCTAGTTTACAAAGATCCAGTGAATCCACAGAACAATTTCAGCTGTTACATCCAAAGTGCAGGAATTAACAGGTTAGAATTACACACAGCTTTTTAAAATAAACCTCTACTAGGTTCTATTACACCAGAGCTTAAAAAAGTTTAATTTGCAACCATTTTAGGCAGGCATAAGAACTTTGTTAAACATTACAAAGTCTTCAGAATCCAGTTTTGTAAATGTCTTTACACAGGTCCTCCTAGTACAGCCTCAGTGTAAGTAGAAACTTGAGTCTTGAGCTGTATGCCCCTGATTCTCAGTTATTTTAAAAGCTTACTACTTGCAAATTCAGGAATTATCTGGAACTGTTATCAGCTGCTCTACTAAAAATAAAAAAGCGATATGCCTCTGATTCCAGCTTCTAAATGAGCTACAATTTGATATTTGCAGCCAATTTTAATAATACAGGGTTTTTTGTTTGGTTGTTGGTTTGGGTTTTTTGTTTGTTTGTTTTGGGTTGGTTTTTTTCTGCGGGGGGGTTCTTTTGGTAGAGGGCTACCTCCAGAAGATACTGAGAACACTGTCTGGAACAGACTGTAATTCAGATGTACTGGATTACAGCTAATCAACCTGCAAAATGCACTTCCTCCTCCCAATATACCTAGTCTCCAGGTTTAAAAATTAGGGTGATGTTTTTTTTCCCTGTCTCAGGGCAGCTCCTCAGCCTACAACCTCCAAACCTGCACAGGGCTTGATACTGCACAGAGAAAATGGTTCTTCAAGGGCATATGGAGCAAATTCCATTCCCTTGGAGTGGAGTTTTCACCATAGAACAGTTCAATTCCAGCAAAATTGCTATTCAAAATTGAAACAACACAACTGAGACCCCCAATCTTGTGACCTACTCCCATTACAGCATGAAGCAGTACCCTCAGTGCTTCAGCCTTTCCAACCCTTCATTCTTATCTGAACCTTCAATATTTGCCACAATCCCAGTGGTTTTACTGTCACAGTCACTAGGTAGGGCTCTGCCACTGGCACACACAATCTTTACTGCATAGAAAGTCTCATCCCTGAAGACTATTTAAAGCTTTTCAGCTGGGAAATGGCAAACTAGGCAAGAAGCTGCACCAAGATGAAGGAACTGGCCTACAGCATGTGCTGGACCCTAGAGAGCAGCTCTGGGTGCTCAGAGAAAACACAGACTGATGAAGTCATACAACACCCCTTCTTCATGTGAGAGTCAAACAGAACATGTAAACCCAGGGAAAACAGAATATATTCATTTACTTTGAAGTACTATTTGACACTTACATGCAGAAACAAATAAGAAGAGGGTGAGACAAAGTTTTCAGACACCACACTGGTAAAGGATCATGGAAAAGAGAATGCCATTGATGCATACTAGGAAACAAACCTTATGAGGGGGTTTTGTATTTCTGACGAGATTTTTTTCTCTTACCAACTTTAATTACAATGCTCTAGAAATTCCATTAATATCACATCCTTTGAGCATGAGAACACACCTGATACATTTCTAAACTAGATAAATCAAGCTACTTACCTCCATTAGTGTTTCCCTCAGATTTAACCTTTTTTCTATAAGTAGACCATGCTCCTTGAGGAACGTGCAGAGGAACAAACTGAGATTCTGAATGAAGTTCTGTTCATCATCTTTTCCATTTGAGTATGCAAGTCGGATATTGGTATTTAAAGGAAGCATCTAAGAAAAATAAATCATCAAGAATTTTCCTTTTTATACTTGTTAATACAAAGCAGTTGTCGTGTATGTTGCCTTTTTTTAATGAAGAACCTTCAAGATGGAGCAACATTGCCAAGAGAGGAAAAGACTTTAAAAAAACCCTTCACCCATCCACTTATATATAAATACACTGAGGAAGGGACTTATGTACCTGAATCTGAACTACTCAGAGGGGAATCATCAAATTATATAAATTTGATGTATGGCTTTTAGTGAGAAATATTTCTATCTGTGCCAAAAATTAAAAAAGAAACTTGCAGAAGTTAGGTCAGTTTAGGTCCTGAGACACAATAGTTCACATTTCACCAGGAGACAGCCAAAGGGCCCGAAATATCTTTTAAATTAATCAAATCAATAAAGCAGAAATGCAGCTGGAATCAAGTTCAGAAAAACACACTCGTCATCTTCTGATCAAGCCACAAATACCACCAAAAAACAATACTTTTCCTATCAAGAGCTCTATAATGAACACAAACCCATCAACTTACTACAGAAACGGATTTTGTGATACAAAATTCAAAAGGGGATTTCTGATAAACATTTACCTGTTTTAACTGCATCATGGTCAGTGTAAAAAGTGTTACAAACTGTTCTTCATACTGGCTTACACTGACACCTGCAATCTCTGTGAGGCACTTCAAAGAGACATTGCGAAACATGGGAACATTTAAGAACTGTTGAGGGAAGGAAAAAAAATAAAGAGCATTACAGAAGTGTTGTACAGCTTTTCTGCAACTTCTATTTAGATTTAATAGTTATAATTTTTTTGCAGTAATACCTTGTATATTAGTGTGCTGATTAACTTGGTCTCAAATATATATCCCAGAGGAATCCAGTTCAGAAATCGTAGCAAAGTTTCCAAAGTTGCATGGACTAAGGGAGCATTTTGGGAGTTTTCCTGTAAACAACCATTTAGAGTTTATGGCATTGTGACACTGTTAGGCACAAAGGGGGGAATTTTAAAAACATCATTAAAGAAATGCAACTTACCATCACAAACTGACACAGTTGAAATATCTGAGAGAATTCATTGCACATGCTGTAAAAAAAATAATTGAAAACTAAGCATTTCCACATTTCATAAACCAAAATATCTATGCCAACAGGACAGGTCCTTAAGACCTACACCCATGGAGGCATTCTAAAGCCACCTGGTTTATCCCCATTTTCATGGTAATAACGCATATTTGAGGTAGCCTGAAGCCTGTGCCTGCAAATTCTAAGAAGGAAATACAATTAATTAATGCTGAATGCTGTATTAAAAGCACAGGAACCATCAGTCAACAGATGCTACCTGCAGCAAGGTACAAATCCCTGCAAGTACAAAATGAAAGTTGAGGATCCCCTAGAAGTAGTGCTTCAAAGAAAAAATCAGTAACCTCTTGGGCTCAGACACAGCTGCAGGTGTTCAGACAAGGGCTTCAAGTGAGAGCAACTATTTAGCAGCAAGCACAAAGTCTACTCTGTTCATTAAGATTTAAACATATTTACTTGCCTGTCTTTCAAATGCTTAGCTTTTACTTGAGTAATCTGGCCACTGGAAAAATCAAACACTTCTTCACTCAGCAGTTTCAGGATCACCATGTTGTTCTGGCAGAGACTCTCACTGGTCCTGCTCGCTCCCACAATGTCACTGATAAATGTCGGCCAGTGCTTTGGCCACTCCTGTTTCAGGATCTGCAAAGGGAACCAAGCCCCATGTGAGACACACAGCAATGGCAGACACTTTACAGCAAGGTATAAAATGTTATGAACTCTGGCTTACCTGAACAAGAATCATATTCAGTTTCCCAATATACACTTTCTCTTTCTGGAAAAGAGAAGAGAAGAATCAGGGTTGTGCATAACACTCCACTCCCTTATCCTCCCCTGAGAATTCTTCACTTACCTCTACACATGCTGGGTCAGATGAGGTCTTGATAATTAGGCCAACAACATATTTTTTAATACCTGCAAAAGAGGCAGGGATTTATATTCAGATAGGCCATATATCACAGATGTAGCAACAAGTATTTCTGAATTCAGATTCTTCATGGTTTTAAACCAAAAACACCTCTAACAGGCCAGATAAGCCTGAGTCAGTGAGCATCCTTCTTGTGTGCTACATGGGAAAAATACACCTTTATCAATCCTGACAGGGGATTTTTTAGATGTACAAAATAGCTTTACACCAAAACTATTTCAATGAAGCAAAAGACTACAGATTAGAGTGTCCTTGCAGTAATTTGTACCACATCAAAATGAACTCCAAGAATAAACAGTGACTCCAGTTTTAATGCCAGGTTTGCTAAAGTGCATGGAAAGCTTTGACATATCACCTGCACTGCATGCAGAAGTTCAGAGCTGGTCTAATCTACTTAGGTGATCCATTTTAAAAACAGAAATTCCTACGCATTTTAAAGTCAGAGCTTAACAAAGCGTCTCCTGTGAAATCTTACAAGAACAGAACTCAAAACTTCTTTCATTCATACAGCACAATTTGAGTGTGAACCACTGGGCTTTCATAACACATATGGATGCTGTGAGTCCACCAACTCAGTAAATTCTGCTTTATTGCTTTTAGGTTTTCTTACCTTACATTGGCAATTGGACAACCAGGCATGCTCAGTGTGTTAAAACCATTCATTTTGTTGTGTTTCTTCTACAAATGTTTTTAAATTATTTTAGAATTTTCAGCTCCACCATAAAACCAGAAAAACCCTGATCACTGTAGGGAAGTGACACTGCCCTAAAGTTTCATTTTGCCACCTAACCCTCAGCTCACTCATAATTACTAAATCCATGGGAAACCGTGACTCTCCAAGTGATAAAATCCATTCTGTACAGAAACACCCAAATCCCAGGAAGAGCCAAGCACAGAGGGCCTGGAGTCACAACCCAGGTGAACATTCCAGGAGTTCAGCTCTGACAGCAACTTCAAACCAGGCAAGTGTTTTCTTGTTTTAAGGAAGTCTGAGAATTGGTGGATGCTTTGCTATTCAAATTCATGAACTCAAAACTCTTGTTTCAATAATTTCTTGAACAAGACAAGTCAGCTGACTCATGCAGACAACATGCATGCATTGAAGACTTCAGAAGTTGTCACTTTCAGAAGAATGTCTTCTGTTGAAGATATAATCCACACCCTCTGTTCTAAGTTTAAAACCTGTCTTAGACTTGACCAAATTTAGTCGTTTTATTTTTTTTAAGCTTAAGCAAGAGGATTAAAAGGGATAATTTATTAATTGCATCCTCGTGAAATCTGGAAAAACTAGATTCAGACTTTGAGCCATTAGATACATACTAGACAGGAGCTGTTCTACAGGTAGTTCCAATTGCAAGTGGAACTACTCACCATCAGCTGGGATCAATCCCCACTGCTCCAGGAGAATGGTCATTATTAAAGAATCACTGTCAGGCACTGAGTAAGAGTTATTACCAAGCATCATAGGCCTGTTCTGATGTTTTAAACATAAAACACACTCTTTGCTGAAGCATTTCAGTAATTTAAAAATGAGATACGAAAGCCCTCCCCAGACAGTATGGAAATAGGTTTGCAGAGCCAGAAACTAAACTGTTATAACCATCTGCCAAACCACTAAGGGAAGCCTACTGTTGCAACTCTTTGCATTTCAAAAAGGAATTAAGGTAAGATTGCTTTTAGAGTTCCAACTGCAAATCCATGGTATTTTCCATCTTGCTGCATCAATGGCATTGTGCTGTTCACTAACAACTTGAATATTGTTCTGCCATCGATCTGGCCTTGAGACCAGCAGAGGAAAACAGCTGCTCTGCTTCACAACTTCTCTATTTAAAAAATTAAAATGGAAGTAAAAATGGTGACCACAGCTCAAAAGACAATCTAAAAAGTTTGCTCCCTTTCACACATCACACTGCAGGCTCCTGAGATTGTCCATCCATAGAACAAAGTCATATTCTTAATCCCTTAAAAGCAGCAGCTATCCAATTCTCTAATGCTCCTTTTGGCACAGATGTCATTTTATACTTTTCCAACTTCAAGTGTTATTGTTCCTGCTCCATACTTAATAGCTCATTTATTTATCATTTCATAGGAAAGATAATTTTCAGCATAACAAATATATGTCAAATTTATATTCTGACAAAAATCATCCCAGAGGTTCATTACCATTTTTCAGCAGAACATGCCCAAGAAACTGTTCAGGGGCAGTAATCTATGGGATAAGCTAAAAGCACTGTGTTTGGGGAACTTAAAATTAAAAGGAAGTGTTATGTTAGAAAGGAAAGCACAGGACATGCACAGACCCCACCACCACTGCCTAGAAGGTCTCCTTCCATCACAGAAGCAGCTGAACAAGTCTTGAAGAGGCCAAAACCACAACTGCCAAGTTAAGGCCCCTTACTGAGCCAAGCAGGAAGAGACAGACAGTGCAGGAAAACAGACCTTCTAATAAAACAAAACAAAAGCCACACCAACCACAACACCCAGGACACACAAAATGTTCTGCAAAGATTATCTGACCTTGCAACTGCACTGATCTCAGGGCAACCAAAGGGAGCAGACCCAGCTCCAGGCCTGGACCAACCCCACTGCTGGAATTTTCTGGAATGCGAAGCCTGAGAAGTACTTTTGTACGAAGTCCCAAAAAAGGGGTGATAGAGCAAGGGCATGAACTTGAGGCCTTTTAGAACATTCCTGGATATCCATTAGATACTGTCATCCTTCCGTGAAAGTTGCTCCTCGACAGAGGCAAACATCCAGTACAACTGAAACCCTTCCTGGAGGGAAAGCAGTTTTCCCAAGTGACCCAAGCTATGCAATGCTTCAAGTGGAACTGGGACAGTGAGGAACATCACATTATTCAACATGAGTCATTTCTGCAGCCTGAACTTGTGGAAATATCCTCCAGTTTAACCTCTGGATGTGCTCTAAGAAACCATTACCTCTCCTGCACTCTCTGTACCCTGAGCACAGAGCTCCTGCTACAGCCCAGTACAGCGGGTAAATAACCATGGACACAATCAGCAAACACACGCCTGCAACAAACCCTCTTGTCCTCAAGGCACACAAGCATAGCCTTCCATGCAATTACAGAGCACAAGCATTTAACAAGTGTTAAAAATTATTCTAGCTGGTGCTGCAGATGCAAGCTCACTCTAATTTACTACGATTAATAAAGTCTCTGCTTGTATTAAATAATAGGCACAAATGAATCAGGTGAGCTACGTAACTCAGCAAATTAACATTATTTTGCAATCAAAATTAGAATTTCAAATGCTAAAGCTGAGCTGTCCTTTCTGGGGATGTTTGTATGCATACTCAGACTGAACTGTTTCATCCCAAAATGTAGTCAAAATACCATCTTATTTTTAGTTTTCAGAAACAATGCTTTCCCATACAGTCTCACAATCACCTTTACTCCTTAGTGGTGAATTGAATCAATCCATGATCTTTTTGCTTTTCAACAGAAAATTCATGAAAACTCTGAAAAAAGGCACAGAGTTTGTCTCCACACACACATACAGAAGTGCCATGTAGCTCATCCCCTCTTCATTACAGGGAACCAAAGAAACATCTTCCTCATGAAGCAGGCCAGGAATTTCCATAAAAAGATCTCATCACTGCACAGAAAAGCCTCCTCTACAGCAGCTTCCACTGCATCAAAAGTTTTACACTCAACTCCAGGACCTTCCTGGAAAACATTGAACTGCATCTCTGAACACTTCACTTTTTCATTTCAGGATGAGAAAAGTTGTACAAGCAATTTGTGTTTCATAATGAAGAAGTGCTTTATCCATTCCAGCTCCAAACACTCCAGACAAGCTTGCTCTGTTCAGGGGAACGCTATTTCATGTCACAATGTGGGATTAATGAAACGTATCACTGCACTGAAGACCAAAAAGCCTTTCTTCCCAGGCAGGTTTTCACACTGCCAGAGAAAATCCTTTTGAGACCACAGCACTTTAATCAAATGCCATCCTTTTTGAGTGTTATTAAACAATCAACTCTAAAGGATATTGGAGTTTAAAGCAATTTAGTACCACACCTCAATAAACCCAGAAGTCCAACTTGAGAATGATGGCACAAGAGCCTGGCCATGAGCCTGGGATGTTCTGGAATACATCACCCACCCCAGCCAGGCTTCAATGAAAACCACGTGACATCATTTGTGTACGTGGAAGAGCCATTCCAAGCACCCTCCTGAGGACTAAATAAATCATGCAGAGCAAGGCTAACCATTGCTGGGAGCTATGACCAAACATGTCTTGAGGCTGAACACACAAGTAAGGCATCTGATTTAACTGAATTTTACCCCTTCTGTGCCTCAAACTCCACTTCTGTCTACAGAACCAACTGGTTCCCACTGCTAACTCCAAAAGCAAACCAAAAATAAAACCAAAAAGCCATCACATCAGTATTTTAGAATTGTAAATTGATTGTTTTGCTCGAATCTTGTTTCAGAATTATGGAAAGGTAAAAACGAACTTTTCAAGAAGTGCTCACAAACAACACCACCTGAGGAACAGAAAGCTATTTTACAAAACTTAAAAGCCAGCAGGGCCAGAAAAGCTCAAACCCAAAAGTTATTTTAAAACCAAAGACAAACTTCAGAACAGAGCTTCAAGTCTAAAGAAGACATCTGAAGAAAACATTTTCCTCCTTGCATTTTAAATTCAAGGCTGGAAGCTGAAACCCTCCAGCACACAGACAGAAGCAGTAATAAACCTCTGGGTAACCTCACAACCCAGCAAGTCATTCTGATGTACAACTTGTTAAAAAACAACAACCAAAAAAAAAAAAAAAAAAAAAAAAAGGAGGTAAAATAAGTTACAGTAAATGCTCTGTAATTATGTAATTAGCAACATTGTTTTATTTCTACCAACAAGTTTCAGGGAAGTCATTTCAAAAACGTTTTTTATTCACTGACCATTTAATTCAGATCTGCTCTTGACTTTATCTCTTAAGCACTGCTGTTGCTACAAAGGGGTAACAGTGATTTTTTCATAAATGCATTTAGTTTCCTCTTCACCAACAGTGAGACAGTCAGCTGTATTTACTACACAAACCAACCAGACATTATGATATAATGTAAAACTGATTTGAAACCTATATGATTTACTTCATTATTAAGCATTCCATTGTACACCGAATTTCAGGTTCCTGCATACACATTCCACCGGTTAAGATTTCAAACAAGAAAATCCTGCCAACCAAAGAATAGCTGGAGTCAAGGAAACCTCAATTTAAACAGCATTACTATCTCCCAGATAATCAAGCCACCTAAATGAGCTCTGGAGCAGCGATTTTGAACCAGCCAGTATCATCAGCCAAATAAAAAAAAAACAACTACCACAGACCAGATCAAACTGGATTAGAGATGCAACATTCTCCCTTCTACACCACTGAGGCCAAGGTGGATAAAATGCCAAGGTACAGAAAATATATTTGGTTCCTTTTCTACCACAGAAGTAAAAGCCACTAACCTAGTTTCCCTAGAACAGGATAAAAGTCAATTTCACTATTTTAATTTGTTTCTGTCAAAGGGAAAATGTTTTCAAAGCTGAACAAACACCACACTTTTGTTATTGTAAAGGATTTTTTTTTTTTATTTCCTCTGGAGTTTTCATAGATACACAAGTCAGAAAAAGTAAGAATAGGATACCTCAAACAGTAACTTTATTTTGCCTTGTAACATATAGAGTTATTGTATCTTCTTAGATGTCAGGAACCACCCCAACAGCACTGTCACTGTTAGAGAGAAAATGACCCAAAGTACAGCCAGCAGCAACCTCATCCCTCCACCACTGTTTCTCAGCTCTCCTATGCATTAAGAGAATGAATTTTAAGACTCTGAATTCCTGAACTGCATCCTGTATTTGGCACCCATTCAGTTCCAAACTATCAAGTTAGGTCCATCCCTGTGACATCTGCTCTACATCTCCCTTCACCAATGGGCAATACTCCTAGCTCCTCTTTCTCCTGCTATGCTCCCACAGCAAAAACTGTAGGACAATAACTTCAAAATGCTGAAACTAAGTGCTCATAGTCAGGGATGTAACAAAATATGACTGAGCTGAAACACTCCAGTAATTAAAAGCACAAGAACAGTTAACTTTAGCTAACTAAAGTGCTCTTTTAGTTTCTCAAAAGGGCATAGTTGTGTCCGAGCCTTAGCTGAAGCTGCTCCCTAGAAACCTCCAGCAGCAGAATGAACGAAAACTTCACTTCCAGTTTTACTTTCAAAGACAGCTACCCTCTGCCAACCTATAGTTGGAAGGGATGGGAGAAAGTCAAGGAGAGGAATAAGCACAAAAGTGTCAAAATCCTTCTCTATGCATTTGTTTTCCTCAACACTTCAAATTCTGTTTTAATTAACATTGTTGCAGAACCGAAGCACTGGCAGTAAAAATTTAAAGCATGCCTCAGCATAGTTAATAAAAGCCCTCAGCAGAACACAGAAATATGGAACCTTTAATTAGTTCCAAGACCAGCTTTTAGTAAAAAGCCAAGTATAGAAGAGTGACACCATTTAACGTTAAGAATTTGAAGTGGTTGCACTTAATGTTTTGAAGTCCCACGTTGTGATGACTCGACAGCCAGCAATGTGAAGAGCACTAACCCTGCAACCACAGGGGTGTACCTCCATTTACTGGAGACAATGTCTAAAAGTCAGCAACATTGCAAGCTACAAGCTACATAAACTAGGAACAGAATTGATTTAAAGACTTCCAACTTCCTTGCATTGATGCCACACTGGGGCTTACCCTACACTGTGCCAATTACAGCAATCTGCCTGTTTATACACTATAGCTCCCTGCCTAACAGCATGAGTGACCATCAATAGCTAAGAAAGTGCATTTATTTAGTGTTTCCACTTTAAAATCATTGTAACTGCTTACAATTTCAAATAATAACACAAACCTACACAAGGTAACAAGTGGGCCACAGTGTCCGCTAGGGGCTGCACACACAGCTTCGAGAGGGTGAAGAAAACAAAACCTCCTGTTCTAAGTACAGAAAATGAAAACCTCTACCTCAATGCCAGGGGTTCACGTCAGATGTTTCAAAACTATCAGTCACATATTTTCCACAAATGCACAGAATTTCAGCTGATCACCAACCCACTGAGACTACTAATCACAAAAGCGAAAGATAAGGTTTCATTATTCAAGATATCGCAACACAAGACAGAAATGTTACTTAGAGACTGGAAGTCTAAATCTCAGTTAATACACAAAGTCCTGAGGAAAAGAAAAATCCCTCCCTACCTTCACACTGGTTCCTTGGAAGAATCTTCCATCTTGTTTTTATCACATTTTCCAAGATTTGCAGTCCATAATACTGAAATTGGAGAAGAACAAAATGTGAGTACATTACTGTAGGACCAACTAACTTGCAGGATTCTCATTCAATCAGACATTCACACTTAACATCTAAGACTTCAAGATTCTTAAACTAACAATTTTATTAAATATGTCTATTCACCCATTTACTGAGGTTTCATGCATCGTATTTTCTTGTTTTATTCTTGGCTATACTAAGTCCTGCTGTTTGATCATGCTCACACCAGGACGGGGGGAAAAACAATTACCAAAAGCCCTATGGCAGACAATTTTGGCTATCTGGAAAAGTAGCAGCCAGATATGAATTTGTATCACAAATGACTGCTCCTAAGTTTGAGTATTAACACAACCAGGCTCCTAAAATATTTAGCAGCTTGGATGGTGACTCAAGCTTCCTACTGTTCCTCTAAGAGCTGGAAAAAAAAAAATCTTGTCTTAACATCACATGTCCTGACACTGGCACTTTCTAGAAAAAGTATTTCCCAAACTTCACTGGTGTGTTACTTTAGGAACAGCAAGACAACCCACAGGTTTATTTAATTTCAATCCCCACCCCAATATGGCAGCTATTTCTAATATTTAAAGATGAACTTTTGTGCTCAGTCAAAGAACAATAAAAATATGAATAAGCTCTTAGAAATCATTTTACCTTTCAGGAATTCCTTCCTATGTTCTTACCCGAAACCATTAACGTTGCAAATGGCCATTCCCTCTGCCCATTTGTCCCTACTGCCAACTCACAGTAACAGGGAAAGAAGTTTGTCATGGTACAACCAAAAAACTTTAATATGTAAAACCCCATTAGCATGAATAGACAGGAGAGAAAAGGGGATGAGGAGTTTTGCATTTAGTTTATCTACAGTGGAATAGGAAGAAAAACAAAACCAAAAAAAAAAATCAATGCCTGAAAGGTAAACTCAAGTTTTCAAGTTCCAAGTTTGGCTGAGAATAAGAGTTCCTCTTTAAAGTGGTTAGTCGTTACACAAAGTAGGATCATTAGCATTTCGACCAAAGGGATCATACAGATATCAGTTTAATTAAAAATACACAATGTAGACTATCCCAAGCTACATTGTACTGAAAGAGCAGTTTTGCTGTTCTCATCTTAACATAACCTACATCCCTTTGCCTCCCTATCTGATCCCAGATCCCAGGAGATTCCAGGTGCACATCTTGCATCTGCAATATTCTGTCCCCATCCAAAACCTCAGGCACCAAGAGAAATTATGAATTACAGAAAGCTGGCAGGGTATTTTTATTGCCTCCATGGTCAGCAGCAAAAGCTTATCAACTAAATTTTAACCTGTAAATTAATTACATGACATGAAAGCTAAATTAAATCAAAGGAATTATCACGTAGGAAAACGTGCAAAAACATTCTTAAGCAAAATGCATCACAGAAATTTATTTCAGCCACTGCTATAAATTTACAGACACCATCTGCAAGTGATCCAAGGCTCATGATACAAAACATACTTACAAAAGCTCCTAACAATGTTGACAATATGAACATTTATATCAGACAGTGCTAACTTTCCTGAAGTACATGTAAACTCTAGCAAAATTTCTATGTTCTACAGGCACATACATTAATTTTTCAGGTATTAACTAACTAGAAATGTTCATTTTCTCCTGAATCTTCTTCCACAAGTGAACTCATTTAGCTTTTACACCAGAATGGCAAGTCTACTTTCATTTTAAATAAACACTAGATGAACAAATCAAACTTAACAACTGACTAAGGACAGACCTCATTTTCAGTGGGCTTTTCCCTCACTGAGAATTTCCTGGAGTCAAAGAAAAGCATAGACACCTCTAGCAATCTGCCACACTTATCCCTCATTACCTGCTCAAACATCTCATTTGGGTTCACAGACCTTAAGCTGTTCATGCTGCAAAGGTTTCTACTCCTTCGATTGTGCCCTCTGCAGTGTCTTGTTCACTTCTTCCTCAGTCTTAAAAACACTCCTTTTCCCTAACACTCACACATGACACTGAACAGCAGCAGCAGCACTGTGTACAACCCTCACCTGCACATCCTTCTTGCCACACCTCACTGGAAGGGCTGCATCAGCCCCAACATCCTGCAAGGGGCCTTCGGGGCTCTCTACCTTGTTTCATTTGATTCGATAGTTCTAATTACTCTTACTTCTCTGACAATGAGGAACACCACTCCCAAAAAAGTCACTGATACCAATTACTAAGTCCTGCCTTTTAATCAACTACTCCAACAGCACACATCTCTAAGACAGAAGCTTTTCAAAAACTAATTTGCTCTTGGTTTGCTAATTGTCTACCACTAATTCACTTCCCAGTTATGAAGATGAGGAACAGGCAACAGCAAAAGACTCAAAAAAAAAAAAAGTAGCACAAAATGATCCCTATGGTAGAAATTTCTATGGCACCCTTATTACTTATTTTATGCACCGAATCCCTTTCCCTCCCACCTCCCAAGAAACAAAAAACAATTGATGAACAGAATTCAGTTAAAGGGAATCAAAAGGGTAGACCTTGTGGAGGCCTGCCGTCAAAGCCTAGCTGTGTCAGTTGCACAGGAAGACACCCCTTTTCTTCCTATTACAAGCAATCAACATAATGGAACATTATGATTAATATCAGGTAGTGTTAACAGCTTTAATTAAAGAAAAAATATGATTGCATAAAAGCCAAATGTCATAGTGCATAAATTTAGCACCAAATCATTTGCAATTTATGTAAATTGAAGAATTCTTTACCTGTTGCTTTCTTTCTGTTCCTCTAATCATCTCATTTTTCACAAGACAAATTTGAGTTTTTAAAAATACTGTTGATAAATCAACTTAAACATTAGTAATGTCTGTCAGTATAAAAAGCAAAGTTTACCAGGCAAGCAAACAGGCAAACACTGTTACTTAAAGGTGCTTAAAGGTATTACTTTGAGGAAGTTCTTTAAACTGTTTTCCCCTCAACTCCAGAGAGCAATGAAAAAAAAATATTAACTGCTTCATGAATACCACATGATTTCAGGAACCATCCAAACACAATTTTTTTTCTGTTTGAACACAGTGTGCATCCAGCAGAAAAACATGCATGTCAGTTATTTGAGATAATAATCACCAAGCTTACTACAGTGAAAACACATTTTGCTCATCATTTTGGCTCAAACTTCACAAGTCTTAGGTACAGCATTTCAAATTGCAGAAAAAGCCCTGAGTGCTGCCCATTTTAGACTCTACCATGATGGATGGGTTTCCAACAGCAGTAAAAAGCAAATATGTCCTGCATAGTAGCAAAGAACTGATGCACTACAAACTGTGGGGTGCTTAACCTTTTTTGATTGCTCAAAACCTTGGCCTAATAAGGTTTGTTTTGCCTTAAACACACCTAGGGACAAATTTTTCTCCTCAGTTACGTGCACATGGCTTTCAATATGATCACACACAGCCAAGCACTTACCCAAGGACAAAATGTGGCTCTAGGAGACTTTTCATTACTCAGGTTATACAGACACAATACCAATCTTGTGAACTGGCATAATGCTTGTACATGACTTGAAAAAAATTCTGTGTATCCAATTTAGCTCATCCTCAAAAAAAAAGAGGGGGAGGGATAAACTCGTGGCAATGTAAAAGGAGGTCTGAATATTTTTTTCATTTACAGTTCTTGCTTAAAGCAATCTTTGTGAACAAGACAATAAAAAAAATATGGCTTGAATCAAGAAAGTCTATGGCTAAAAATGAGATACCTTCCTCAAAGTTTATGGATGGAAGAAAGAGGAAAACCAAATAAAGAAAAGTTAATTTGCTTACTTTGGTATTCATGTTCTGAGAGAACTCCAAAATAGTATCAACTCTTGTCCACGCATCAGGATGTTCTTTTAAGTGAGTCAACACTTCTTGTGCCATTCTTTGCTGAAAGAAAATTTGATTTGAAAAAAGTGTTAGCATTAGATTATTTAAGAAGTTGTATACTGTCACTGAAGACATCAATATGTAACACTTCATTCGTATCACTTATCTAAGAGTTATGCAGAACTCAACCAGCAGCAACAAGTCCCTCAAGCCTCCTTCTGTGAGAGCTGAAGTTTGGTAACAACCAAACTCCAAAAGCTCATTGATACAGGACAGTAATTTCTCATTTCCACTCTTCCATCCTGAATGATTCATCCAAACCAGCAGTAAACATGCAAGAACAGCACACATGATGGGGAAAACATACTAGGGAATGAAGTTCTCTCCCCTTCCATAAAGTCATCTAGATATAAAACTTCATTCTAGGGTACCCAAACTTTCTCATTCCAGCGGAAACACTTATACAAAGAGCCAGGTTTCAGGAACATTTTTTGTGCTGCAGAACTGTTGATTTTATTTTGAAGAACCACAGAGCAAAGCATTAGAGAGCTCCAATCTCTACTTCTACTTCTACATCCTTGGTGTACCTAACAACCTACAAAACCATAATAAAAACCTGCTGACAGGAGGGAGCTGGTCACGCTAATGGTTCACTTTTCCTTGGGACTGCCATTATCAATTAATGTCCTAGATGCTGTAGTTTCTTGGAAACTTCATCTGAAGCAATTACACATTGAAATAGCTGAATTCATTTTAGCTACCCCTTTTCAAAAGCCTGGATGTCCTCAAGAATTTTTAGGGAGTCAAAGTGTTGCCAGCCATTTCCAAAAGTGCAGTGCACTGAGAAATGTTGCCACAAATTGTACCCCCTGCAAGCACCAGGCACTGCCTTACCAACAAGGTGGACATTTTACAACACAATTAACACAACTTAAGTTCATTCTTTCACTGCACTGTAGAGTCTATTGGACAGAGCTACAAAGCAGTTAAAGCTTTGCTTTAGGATTAACTTCAACAGTTAGAACTTACTACAACCATGCAGCTTTCTAGTCTCATCCAAGTACTGAGCTAATCAGCAACTGGTGTAAGAAAACGTGTATTTTCAGCAACTTAGAAACCCAGTCAAGATCCCAAATAAAATACAAGAAACTGACAAATTTGGCATGTGACTTACAAAATAAAACTGGAGGTTCCAACAGAAAAGGGTAAGAATGTCTAAACTATCTGTACAACACCACTTGCACCACTACTTGATATAATTGAGCACAGTGGAGCAACTGGACCAGCAAGTGCCTGCAGATCTGATATGGACAAGTACCACACAAATATTCTGCTTAAGACCACAACCAGTACAGCCCTATTTGTTCCAGTGTGACATCAGAGTTAAAAAAAAAAAAAACAAACAGAAAAACCAGCACTTATAATACATTTTTGTTTTAAAGGGGAAGGAAGAGCTGTATTTCAATCTGCAAGTGTGTTTTTATATTGGCCTCCTGTTTGCTTCTAATACTGGTGACATATCCCAGGATCAAATTTCAACACCAACAAAATACAGACAGTCCATATCCTTCTCCCAATGCTGAGAGGTTTGCTCTCATACCCACTAACCCCTCTTCTGGACATCAAACCCTGTAGTTTCATAAACAGTACCAATTCAGTAATAATGGTTAATCAAGAACAAAGCCTTATCATGTTGCTGGTACCAAAAAGAAATTTGCAAATCATCTTTCTGGACATGTGAAGATCTTACAAATCAATGGCTAGGAGGCTACGATGAGTCTAGGTAAACATTTATGAGTTGCATGAAATCTCCTTAGTCATGTGTTGCACTGGGGTGGGGACATTCTTTCTTTTCAGAGAAGTGTACCCAAAAAAGCTGAGAAAAAAAAAAATTAAATCTCCAGGACAGAAAATAGCTTCTTTCTTGACTAACACAGATCAGCAGATTACAGTTTTGCAAGCAGAGATAAGAACTAAGCAGAAGGAGGAGGCAGGTGAATCTGAAAGCAAGTTCAGCACAGGCCATTCAGGTTGCATTCTAAACCAGTTTTACCCTGACATTACCCTGACCTATTCCAGGAAAACCACTGGTAATATCTCAATTTTAATATTTAGTTTCCTCAACTCCTATTATTCCTGTCACACTTTAGTAAAGGACTTGAGCTGTCAGACTCTGCTGAGAACCATTTTTTCCTGCATTTTTTTTAACTCCTTGGAAGAGGGAAAGCTCAGACTCCCTGAAATGTGTCCAGTGTGGAAAAGTACTAAAATAGCTGCCTAAAGTTTCATTGAGGTGACACGTGTAAGTACATGTATTTAAACAAGTTTATATCATAATTTACTTTTGCCAGTGAAACACCACCTCTTGGAGTTTTGCATCTTATTGTACTGATTTTCTAAGTACTGGAGACTTTTCCCAGTTGTTTTAAGTGAAGCAATTTCTCACAATGCCAGAACAATGGCAATCTGATCATTGTATTTAGTGTTAATCCTTTATTTTCCCTACAAACCTTCCCAGCTTTTTCAACTCTTTTCAAACCAAACAACATCATAAGCATCACCTGTTTTGGAAGGCAGTAAAAGATCACAAAACAAGTGCTACAGATGTCCATACTTCTAAGACAAAAGCTACAAGGAGTTTTCTGTCATCCAAGTACTTAAAAAATTACAGCAAGTAACTTTGAATTTAGGATACCCAAAATGCAAATATTTCAAAAAACAAGCAGCTATTTCAAAAGCTATTGGAATTAACATTAGTAATCTTTACAAAAGCTTTTTTTCCCCCTAAAGAGATACACAAAGCAAGTATATGCACGTCTGTCATTGTTTATTCTAACAGCTGGAAAGAATAGAAGAGCATCAGCTACTTTGTCCCATTTAATTCACTTATTGTTGTGCAAGACTATCTTAGTAAGAGATGCCTGACACTGAAACTCCCAATTTGTTGAGCCTGAACAATTAAAGTCTGCCAGAAAAGGAACTATGCCAACACCCTTTGTAGCAATACTTGCTCTCAACATTTAAGTCTTGTTTCCAAAAAAGTTCAAGAAATAGATTTTTAAAAAGCAATACAAGATTCACTTTCAAGGCAATATATGCAAACACAAATGCACAGTCCTTCCATTTCAACTTAATATTTCACAATCTGCACTAAGTCCAAAGGAAAGAATGCAAGAATGCAAGTGCAAACTGTAATAGAGAACGAAGAAGCCCAGACACAAGAAAGGAACAAACTCTTCTATTAAATATGCATGACATGCTTCTTTATAAATACAAACAGAGGAATAGCATCACAAAGATTTTTCTTTTAAATGCAATTCTCAGCTGAAGCAAACATTACTTTTATGGCTTCGCAATCCTGTCCATGATAACAACTTACAGGTAGTTCAGATCTTCCTGAAGAACTAAGTCAGAAAAGTGAGTTGCATCAAGTGACCTTACCAAATCATATTTCCTAATAATTCTCAACATCAGAAGCCAAGCTAGAAATGTACACCAGGATAGCGGCTCCCAAATAAATATTTCTCCAAGAGTCATTTCAATGTGAATTCACATTTCATGTGACTGCCAGTGATATTCCAGTCACTAGCTCAGTATATTCACTAATATTACTAATTGTTACTGAAATGAACTGATTTTGCTCAGCTGATTTGCTGTAAGGTTAAACATGGTCAATAAATGTATGTTCCAAGTCCACCTTACCTGTGCACCTTCTCCATGGTACAAACAGTTCACCACATTGTCCAAGAGATTGATATCCAGTTTCTGGTTAAAATCCAGCAGCTGACGAGCTGCATGGTCTGCTAACATTGTCATAATTGCTGGCATAGATTACTGGAAAATAAATTTTAAAAAATTTATCAATTAGTAAGAAATTATTACCAGATGCAGCTGCAAAGCAAGTACTTCAATTTAGTTCATTTATCTCATTAAAACAAGATGCTTATGTTAGCAGTAGTAGATAACACTGGATATAACACTGCTTTAATTGAGGCACATACCAGGACAAACTTTTCTTCCCCCCCCCCCCCCCCCGAAAACTTCACCCATCACTACCCCAGCTAAACTCTCAGGGTCCTCAACAGGTAAAACACACAGTAACAGTCTGACCAGAGAAAGGGCTGTGTTACCAGCACCATGGGGCTTATTCCAAAGCAGCTATCAACCCCTACATGTCTGCTGGTTGAAAAGCCTTGTGTCACTACAATCAAAACCCAGACTGGCAATCTCAGCCGAGTATCGAGTTCCCAAGGCCAACATGCACATTCAGAAGATTCAGTTCCAAAAGCTTTTAAACATTTGGGTACGGAGGTGAAACGTGATCTATACACAGAGCAAGAAATTAGCCACAGGGCATTTTTCAAATAGTTGGGGAAAAAAAAGAAAACCACCTTAGAAGTTAACCACATCCAAGTAAAAAAATACCACTGAAACTAAGTTGACTGAAGGCACTTTGAGACCATGAAGCAAAGGGACTGTTGAATCAGCAGGTTACTCTCTGTGCCATGTGAGATCACTTCAAACTGAAATGGAATTCTACTGGAGGTTTCAGATCCCCTAAACCCAGGGACACACGCATTAACTCTTTGTCCTAGATAGAACAGCCTTGATATTATGCAAAGAGAGTCAGGTGGGGTGTGTGAGATTCTTTACCAGGCAGAGACTGGTGCAGGATAAAGACATTGGTGAAATGCAGGAAAGCAAGCCAGAAGTCACAGAATTTTTCATTTTAAGTTACACTCTACCTTTTTCACCCCACCCTCCCTTCCCCACGCTGAAACACCTAATCAAGTTTACTGCCCTGTTCTCACAGAAAATGGCAACTCTAACATATACTCCACCCTGCCATCCACAGCACCTCTGTGCCACTCACCCTCCTTTCCAAACTGCAAACCTACAGATCTCACATAAAACTGCTCACTTAACAAACGGCTAGAAGCCTGGGCAAGTGCAAGATCAATCAAAAAGTTACACCAGAGCCATCTGCATACTCAGAAAGATACAACCTGAAACTCTTCCAGGAACACACCCCATAGTCAGATATGCTCTTACTAAATAGTTCCATGTGTAAGGAAGAATTGGTTTCATGCTTTATGTATTCAAGCCATGCTCAAAAGTAAGGAGCAGGACAAACCTGTGCCTCAACCTTAGTAATTACCAATTAAGTGAAAGTTTTACTGTACCATACAGACAAGGAAAATCTTTTGTTTGGAAATGTGCATTTGCAAATAGTGTCAAGAATTTCTGTTACTTCTATATATAAAGACAGCTCTGAACCCAAATATTCTAATTGTATTTTCAACTAGAAAACTCAGTATTACTACACTAACACAACCATTTTAAGAGCTTCATCTCAACATCCAGTCAAGTCTTCTTACATGTTCCCGCAAAACCAGGAGAAAACAAACATCAATTAGGGAACAAAATAAGCTAAAATTAACACTCCATGTCTATTCCTCCCTCCTTCAACTCCTAATGTTCTCAAAATTGCGATGTTAACTTGGGAAGCGAAAAACACAGCAACAGAAAAGGCTGACTTCATTCTTCATTCCATTCTTTTGGCTGAAGAGGACACTGAAAATGTCACCTGGCAAATGAGGGGCAGTGAGCAGCACCACTAGAAGCAAACTGCACCCATGAAGAGGCTCAGAGCAGTTAATGCTCCCAGGCACGCCCCTTTTTGTCCACACCTGGCCTCCATGGCTGAGCCGGGATAGCGGTTTCCAAACTACAATAAATGTCGTGCACCAGTCGCTTCTCAGGTAGGGCCATTCATTTCAGACCTGAGCCTCTTTCGGCGGTTTTCAGGCCACCCCAAGAGCGCCAAGGAGGAGCAGCGTGACCGAGAGAAGTTATTCAACACATGGAAGCAGAAAGGAAATGTTTTGAATAGGGCCCTTCGCCACTCCCAGCATTATCTTCAATAGGACCTACCTACTTCGCCAGCCGAAACACAGAAATGGCGGCTTTGTGGCCACCACCACCTGCAGCCAACTCGATCTCCCAGTCCTAACCCTTTACCCATATGAAGCTTGTAATCTCTGATTTACTGTACTCCTACACTTTTCCCTCCCCCATCATGCCTGAACTCCGGAACAGATTTAAGCTTCATCTCCAAGAACCACCACTGATCAGTCCTTCAATAAACGGGCAAACAAAAACAGAAGAGAAAAAGTTAAAAAAAAATAAATAAAAAACAAACCAGAAAAAAAAATTTGTACTACAACACAGCAAGAATGTGACATCTACCGAAGGTCAAAAGAACTGCATTAACAGCACTGTTTACACAGTTATCCCAACTCTCGATGACCCTGGACCTTTAACACAACAGTTAGCTTGTTGTGGTACACCCGATTCATTTTGGCCCGTAGCACACAGAATAACAGCAGGCACTTAATAGTGAGAAATGTTGAGCATTTACCATGAATCCTACAGCACCCTTTAACCCAGATATTTAAAGCTCACTGGGGGCAGAGACTAAAATAAAAAAGCAAACCCACCCTGGGAGAATCACTGTGCCCCATTTCCAAGCACGCAATGCAAATGAATTGCCTCCCTCTTCCAAGGAATTAGCTGCATCACTTGTAAAGCCCACCCAGGAGGGGTGAATGGCTATGAAACGCAGCGCACGACAAACGCGTTCGCATCACAGTCCACACACCAGCAATGGCAACGAAACCGCCCCTTCCCTTTGCTCCTTCACACACACACATGTGAAGGAAAAGGACGAGATGGATTAAACAACATCTGACCGACACCTCGGAGCGTTCATTTTCGGCTGGAAATAACCACCCAGCGACGAGGCCCTTCCTCGGCTCCTGCCGCAGCGCCCCGGCGGGCGGGCAGCGCCCCGGCGGGCGGGCAGCCGCTCCCGGCTCGGGCCGGCAGGGCACCGACTCCCGGCGGGGAAAGGGCCCGGGGGCTGGGTCGGGCGGGCCGGGGCCCTGCGGAGCGCGGTGGCCCCGCAGCCCCTCCTTCCTCCTCCTCCTCCCCTGAGCTCCAGCCCTGCGCTCTATACAGGGCTCCCCACGTGATCCAGGCGGACGTTTCAATACTGCTGCACAGACACACACACACAAAAAATATTTCTGGAAACTTCCACTCCTAATAATTTACAGATTATGTCGCCGGGTTTGCCCGTACCCGATCCCAGCCTGCCCGGCCCCCTCCTAATGAGGAGCATCCCCCGCGGCATCCGTGGCTGCGCTCGGCCAGGCCGGGGATGCTCGCACCCCAAACCCCATCCGAGCGGACCCCTGCCCCTCAGGGCTTCTCCACGGGGTCCATCACATCTCTCCTAGCACAGGCCAGGCACTGGGGCCCCCTGCACGGGCACATCCCCCCATTCTGCCCCTCAAAATACCCCCCTCTGCCCCCTCCGCGTTGTCCATCGCGACACCCCCACAACCCTCGCTTACCTAGGGGTTTCTCACAGCCTCTTCCTTCAGAAAGTAGGGGCGAGCAAGCCAAGTTTCTAACCACCACACGCCACAAGAAAAAAAAAAAAAAAAAAAAAAGACCACCAAAAATAATCCCTTCCCAAAATGAAGAAGAAAAAAATAAAAGGACCACGGTAGAGGGGAAAAAAAAAAAAAAAAAAAGCGCGGAAGGAGGGAAAAAAACACCACGGCAGGAGGTGGGGGGAAAGGCGATCGCTCCCTCCTCGGTGGTGGGTCGGGGTTAGTGGCGCCACTCCTCCCCTCGCAGCGTGCCCGGCCTGGCTGCACCAGGCGCCCGCAGCTGCCCCCGGGGCTCCGCGCTCGGCTCCGTGCCTTCCCCTCAGCCCCGGGAAAGCGGCCGGCGCGGCGCTCCGACCTCGCTGGTGCTGGGGGATCTCTACCGGCTGCGCCTCCCGCGCCGCCCAGGCCCGGCCCCGCCGGCTCTCGCTGCCCCTGCGGCTGCCGCCCTCCCCGCCCGGCGCTCAGTTCGCCCCCATTCCCGCCACCCCCCCCCCGCGGCTCGCACTAAACTTCGCCCCCTCAGCTACGAGTCCCCTACGAGCAGGTCACACACGCGGCGGCGGCGACGGGGACTGAGCGCGGCGCGTCTCCCCCTCCTAATGCCACAGGCTCGGAACCGGCTCAAACCGGTTCAGACTGGGAGATTCCATCTCGGTTTAGTTTTCAGCCCATGGCGCCGCGGAGCGTTTGGAAACCTCGAGGACCCCGCCCAGCCATCTCTCCCATTGGCTCCGGGTTGTACCGCCGCGAAGGCGGCCGCCACGGTGATTGGTCAGAAGGGCTGTCAATCCGCTGCGCGCTCGGATGGGCGGGGGGGGCGAGCGGCGGCAGGAGGGGGAGTAGAGGGGATCCGCCCCCTCTCCAGCAGCGCTTTGAGCGCTAAGGGGGGGGAACACCGCTCCCCGATAGGCCGAGCCGCGCTGTCACTCAGGGAGGCCCCGCCTCCGTGCTCGCAAAGCGCGGGCGCAGGCCTGGCCGCGCTCTCATTGGCTGGCGGTGGTGGCGGCATGACGCGCGCGCCTGAGCGCGGCTTTCGGGGCTGCGGCGGGAGGGGGCGGGAGAGGCGCGGCCGTTGGGCGCCCCCGGGCGCGTGCATGAGGCGCAATGGCGGGAGCGGGCGGGCGGTCCGTGAGGGGAAGGGGGTCGAGCACCATCCCATTCGAGCTGAGGCGCCGCTTCCGAGGGAGATGGGGCACCCTCTGTGTGGGGGCCGTGTGGCAATGGCGGGCATTACCCCACAGGTCCCTCCCTCTCTCTGGGAGGGAGGGGAGTGCAGCAGATTATCTCAGCTGTAGAGTGGGCCCTGTGAGCGGCAGGAGCACCAGCCCTCGGTGGGTGTTTGCCGTCCCTTACCCCAGCAGCCCTATGCTCTCCACCAGAGCCTGTGCAGAGTGCGAGTGAGGTGTGTGTCCCCTCCTTTACGATGCCTGTGTCCATGGGGTGTCCAGCTTCCTGCAGCTGCCCTCCAAAGTGCGCTTCAGGCAAGGCTGGCTTTAGACTTATCGAAATCTTGAGCTGTGTGAGGTTGTCCTAGGGTGGCGTTATGGTGTTTGTATCTCCAATCGTGTGTTCTGTTCATGTTTGATATTATGTTCTGTGCTTTCAGAACTGACTCTGAAAGTGAAGGTTGGTTTTGCCTTGTTATCATCTGGTTCACCTCCCCCCATGGTCTGCTGTCTAGAAAAGGCTAGTGCTGGCTGGCTTGCTTGGCTTGCTTGCTTGCTTTTGCTTTTGCCTTTGCTTCCTAGTTAGTTTAGTTAAGCAGTCCAATTCTTTCCCTGGACTGTTTCTTTTCCTTTCCTCTTCCTGAATACCATCCAACCTGCTCCGGACTGGGATCTGGGAAACACCAAGGAACACCAGGAGCCTGCATTTTGTGATCTGCAGCAGCCATCCCCAGTGCCGGAGAGCAATCCCCAGCGTCCAGACCCGGGTGACCACTCCCAGGAAAGACTTTCTGGATTTGTTCATCTCTTCAGAGTGGTGAAAGAGTTTTGTTGTCATCTGGTGTTGTTAATTGTTTTGGTGCTGGGGAGTGCTTTGTTCGTGAAATAAACAGGTTCTTTTCCACTTCTCTCAGAGAAAATTTTTTTTCCCGAACCAGGTGAGTGGGGAGGGACCGTGGGGGTTTGTTTTCTGGGGGCTCCTTCCAGAGGGTTTTCCCCAAATTTGCCCTAAACTAGGACAGAGGTGTAGTAGGTAACCAAAAGTGAACAGGGGTGATTTGGAGCTTTTCTGTGGCGCCACAAGCTTGGCATGATGTGGTTGCTCATCTCATTGCTGCCTGAAGGAGCAGAGGACGTGCTTGTCAACTTCCACGTGGAAAAGCTCCTACCAGTGAACGTACTCTCTGCCTACAGATGCATTTCTTCAGTTTTAACCCTCATTTGAAAAACCCTTAGCTATAGAAACTTATGACTCACTTCTGTGAGGAGGCTACTATTAGGAAGTATTTAATTACCGTTCTAGAAACAAACTTTCTTTTTTAATCACTTCAATCAGTTACTTTGTTTTTGGGATGGTATTACTCTGGTCTGTGAAGCTTGTTACAGGAGTGATACTTTTGATTTGTGGAATGCCCTCTGGATGATTTCCAAAGGAAACTCTGTATAGCTTTGTTGAGGCCTTGTTTGCCTGTGCTGTGGCTGGGAGTATGGGAGGGATGCTTAAGCACTTTTGCACAGTTTTAAAACACACACACAAAAAAAGTGTTATGTGGTGTGTAGACTGCTCAGGCATAGTGGCTAAATTACCACTGGTGTGAAGTTTGTATCTAGCAGGCAGGTGCTGTGCTGTTGCTAATAAGTCATAAGAAGGACACTTAACTATGTTTTTGAAACCTTTGTTGGCTTTCTGACTTTACAGATAGTGTGTGCTCAGCCATGTAGTTGCTGGATAGGGCTCAAAACTATTTTTTCCCATAGGATTTTTTTTTAATCCATACCTTTTGTGGAATGTATCAGTTTAAAGTTAGGCATCTGTAGTCATCCCCAGAAGACTGCCAGCGCAACAAAAACCATAACATATTCATATAGATAAATACAATTGCACATACTTACAGTATTCTGATTGCCTGACCAGTTATAGAAGTGCTGTGGGGATTCCAGTTCCTCAATCTTCATTTTGTGGGTATGTGTTATGTGATTTTTTTTTTTTTTTTTTTTTGTTACTGTGTTTCTGGGAAAGCTGGGGAAATCTTGTATTCAAATGCACAATTGTGTTTTGGGCAGAATCTCAGAAGATACAAGATGGTGTGGTGCCAAAAAAGATCCTGTGTGATGTAATACTGCCTTATTGTGATGTATTGCTGCACTTAATTCCTCAGTTAAGTTTCTTGGAAAAACTGCAGAATTTAAGGCTTGAAGAGCTGGAATGTTAATGGTCCCTCTTATTTTTTATCATGCCTAAAAGGAACTGCATCCTGTTATCATCTGTGTCAGAGTGGTAACAGTGCTTTTTTATTTCAGCTTGTTTCTGTTGCTCTGGGGGCTTGGCCTTAGCAGAGTGACTGTAACCGAAGGTAGCACTGGAGCTGCTGGGATTGCTTTTGAAAGTGATTCCAGTAGAATGGACGCCATAGCGAGCTGTTGCTGGGTTAAAAGCAGGGCTGTAACTCTAGCACTTAGAATAAACAGTTCCTATGTGTGTTTTGATGTTCTAACTAGCTCTGGTGTTCAAAACAAACTGATGTAAGAGACAAAAAAGTCAGATTCTTTTAACTCCTGCTTGTGCAGAAGGTTCACTTCTATTTTCTTAGTGTGTATATGCATGTAAGAAACAAATATTTAAATCATTACATCAGTTTGTTAAATGAATGTTAACTATTTTGGGAGTAGATGCAGTTTCACAATTTCATCAGGTGTTGGTAATGCCCATATTGCAATGTGGTTTTAATAAATTGCAGGAGTAACAAACACAGTGGGGGTTGTCTCTGCCAGTTTGTTTGCTAAATCCTGTGCTTGAGTAGGGGAGAGTTTCTGCCTCATCACTGTTACCTCAAATAACACTTTAAATTTTTTTTAGAAATAGCTTTCCTATCTTCCTGCAAGCTGTGCTCTTGGAAAACTGAACTCTTCCCACCTCCCTTCTGTAAGGAGCCAGGTGAAGGGTGAAGACTGCTTCAGGAACTCAGGGCAGGCAGTAAAAAGCAGCTGTTTTAGCAGGGTGGGTGTATCTGATCACAGCTTTTCTCTCACACATGCTATCAGGAGCTGTTGTAAGCTTGTGCTTGCTGTTTTGTTGCCACTGTTCCATGTTTGATGGCTCCTTTATTAGCTGTTCAGTCTGGTATTTCAGCCTTGCTGGAATCAATAGAAAAATTTGCTTGGGTTTCAGGTCAGCAGTGTGGCCTGGTAGTGATAAAAGCTATCTGCACACTAGGCCGGATCAAAAGGAGCAGAACCAGGACATCAAGTGAAGTATTCTTTCTCTCTGCTGGTCACTCAGCAGCTGCATGTGGCACACCGTGCCTGAGTTTTGCTCCATCACTACAAGAAAGATGTGGAAAGCCCTGTGCAAGTCCAACAGAGCCCATCTTCAAGGTGGAGAAGGGGCTGAGGGAGCTGGGCTTCTTCAGCCTGGAAAAAAAATTGGTGAGTGGAGACCCAGTAGCACAAACCAAAGCAGGGAGTGGGTACCATATGGGCAGAATTAAGTAACTGAGCTTTTGGGATCTATTTGTTCTTCACAGGGGCTCTAGAATTTGTGGAAGTTAATATTTTTTTTAATGCTTTTCTAATCCCTGTTCAGGCGTGATGGGATGGGCCACCAAGATCTGAGAGTATCACAAGATAAAGGTAATGTGGATAGGCAAGTGGTGCTTATTAACTCTCACCCTGAAGTTAGAGAGCTCTTCCTTTTACTCTTTTTACTAATGAGGTTTTTTTCTTTACTCTTTAAAGCTTTTTGTTTGTTTTTGGATGCTCTTCCTGTAAATTTGCTTTAGCAGATCATCTCCTTTAGCTGTGGTCAATTTGGTTTTTCAGAACCAGAATGACTTACTTGGGTGATGTGTTAGCATTACGGGTTGTGCATCTGGGAAAGCTGAGGGAGGAGGTATAAAAATAAGAGGAAAATATCATGTTTGTATCATAATTTCTTGGCTGGTAAAGTAGGACTTGTAAGTGGAAAGAGCAGGGAAGAGAATAAAATAGAGCTGAGGAAATAAGGCAAAGACAAGGCAGGTGTTGGTGAGCCTGAAGTGAAAGGAATGAAGCATTCAGAGGAAATTGCCGGCTGTAAATTTTCAAGGCTGTCTGGGCAACACACAACTGAAACAATCTGTTAATGTCGAGTGTCATTGTAAACAGCTCCAGCCTCCACCTCATCCTTCAGGAAAGGCTCTTTCTCCATCCGTGCCTTTATGGGGGGCGTGTCCTCACTGCTGATTTTCACTTTACCACGCTGTGACCGGTGCCTGAGCTTTCTTCTCAAAGCAGGGGAAGATTCCTTGTAGTTTCTACTTTCTCCTGCAGCTGTCCCACTTCATTCTGGGATTATTGACATGATAGGACCAGGAAATATGTTTGGCTACTGAAAGGAATGCAGAGAATTTGTTCTGTCCTTCCACTCTTGCCTTGTGTCATTCTAGAAATGGCAGAACTAATCCTGCCTGAGCATCCCTCTTCTCATTGAACATCTGCTGCCATTCTTAATTGTTTCATTTTTATTTTGGGAGAGCTTCTAATGTACTTTTTTTATTCTTTAGTTACTTTTGTTTGCCTCCAACTTTACTGGGTCTTTGGCCAAACAAATTTTGCATTTCATTTCATTTATTCTTATGTAGAAGAAAACAACTGTCTGTTTTGATGAATGTCCCAGATCAATGATTTCAGAGAGGCTGGAGTAGGAAGAATATTAACAGCATTTGCAGATGATCATAAGTCAGGTGTTACAAACACAATTAGGAAGAAATAATACAACATAACCTAAAAATCTTGGAAACAGGAAATTGAATGTAACTGAGTGGAGAGGAGGAATTAAAAAATGATGTGTCCTTGGGAGGGGTGAGGGGGGAAATAAGAAGTTCAGTCCAAGGGAAAATTTGGAAAACAGAGCTGAGGGAGAAAGTGGAAAGTAAATATTCCTTTGCTTGATGACAGGGCACAGGAAAGGACAACAGTTAGGGAGTATCTATGGGCATTGCTTGGAACAGCAGCAGGGTAGTGACCTAAAGTAATTTCAAGAGCACTCACAGAATATTTTAACTGAACCTGAGTGTCTCATTATCAATGTATTTCAAACAGATGGGAACAATTTCAGAGGTGATTGGCGATTAACACTTGAGAGAGTAATGGTATGAAATATGTAAAACATGACTGAGGAAAAGCCAGATAGAGATGTACTCATCAATAAACTTCCTAAAGTCATGAACTGTTAATCAGTTGATTAATATTTTGAGATAATTAAAATCGCTGTCAGAAAGGTTTAGGCATTACACTTCAAACTGTAAAATAACTTTTCACTGCACGTACAAACCCTTGAAAAACAGATTCTAAGGTGGAACTGGGAAAAAGCACTCTATATTACAGGGAAAAAAATTCTCAATCTCTCCATCTGCAGTCTTTTAAAGATGCCATCTTTTTGGTGTCTTACTGATAACTGAAGTTTTCTTAGCCAAACCTTGCTTGCCATATTCATATGATTCGTGCTGATGCTGAAATGAGGTCAGAAAACAAAGGTGAGAGTTTTCCCCCTTCTTCTAGTAAAGTTCAAGTGAGTTCAGAAAATTTTTACTGAAACAAGTCTTTAACGTGGGACTCTATGTAAACTAAGTGAGCACAGTAAGATATAAATACTCCTCTTGCATTATATAGCTATAAAGTAATGCTCATAACTTAGGGGAAACCAGCTGTTCTTCAAGAACTGTTTAACTGTAATAAGCTTGGCACAAATTCTGTTAGGCTCAGCTCTAGGAACAATTCTAGAATCTGCAGCTGTGAACCATTTTCTGTGATGCTGTGACTGTCAGGAAGATGGTATGAAGTCTACTGCGTGTCCCAGCAGAGCTGTTCTGCTGACACAGAGACTGCCATAAAGCCATGGTAATAAAATCTTGCAAGGTGGCAAACCCCAAGTTGTCACTCTTTTGTTAAATCAGATCTGTTCATCTCTGAACCATTCATCAGTTCTGGAAGTGTTGGGGGGTTTTTTGCCTTTTTTTTTTTTTTTTTTTTTTTAAATCCCTGCTTTTGATACAATTTCTTAGCTTTACTTTTTGGTCTAACCCATTGCAACTTTTAAAGGGTTTGGGGTTTTTTAGGAAAGTTAGTAGAATTTGTGTTCCAAAATACCAACCAAACTGTAAGACTCGGGAATCCGAGATAAAATATTCTATAGTGTCAGTGCTCTAAATGCTATTGGCAGAGACTGTTGATTCTCCCCAGTAAACTTCATACAGTGTTAAATCTAACAATTGTCTCTGGGCAATTGTCTGTTACTTAGGTCCATTTTGTATTTCAAATGGAACTGCTAACTTCATTGTGATAATGTCTTTATTTGGGACACTACTTGAGCTTCCAGCTTTTGAGGCAATAATCTTCTCTCTAACAAGTAAAATAACTCAAATAGGAATAGCTCTACTAAAGATGATTGTTTTGTCTTTAGTAAATTGATATTACAAAATCAGTGGAGCCCTGTCCTCTCTATGGTTTAGTAGGCATGTGGTAACTTACAGTCATTAATCTGATTTAAACTGAAAAACCCACTTTATATCCACAGGTAACAGTAATGCCCCTTCTGGAATAGCAGTCAGCCTTCTGTAGCTGGGATTGTGGTTCACAGGACATGAGAGTGTGGTAGGTGTCACTTCCATGATAATCAATCAGTGGCTTTAAAGGCTGCCAAATTCAAAAACACATCAGGATAAAATACAGGTTATAGCTCCAAGTGAGACTGTTGTATAACTGATTTCTCTCTGGCCAGTCTCAGCTTCATAACTGAGCCGAAATTCCAAACTGTCCCCCAGCAGTTCCAGGTGTTTTTTATGCACTGCCTTTACCTTCCATGCTGTCACATCTACAACTTGGCTATCTCTTCCCAGTTCCATAGTGAACAGCCTTGAAATGAAAATGTATTCTCCAAGTGATGAACATGGGGCTGTAATTCCAAAACAAGCTTCTTTAGATTGCTCATTTTGGAAATCAGCAACATCTGTTTTTATGTTGGGCAAAGAAAGAGGCGGAAGGATGAAAGGAGTAAAAACCAAATCACTATTTAGGTTTTTCTTGGAGAGGTGATACTAAGTTAAAATCTGGAGGAAAATGCAGTTTTCATTTTTTGGGCAAATAACACTGCTGAAAGAAAAGCTGTCACATTCTTCCCAATATTTTTTAAAGATTTGTAGCTTTTTGAATGTACATAGTATGTACATAATCATCTCCCAATTTATTAGGATTCTTGCTTATTATTTTTTCATGTTTTCACAATGAATGCCTTGATTTTAGGTATGAGAGTTTTTTTTCTGTTTAAGTTTTACTTATTTTTCACTCATTTCTCTATTTCAGTCCATAAATTATTGTTCAGCCTTTGGCAAGTTGTATTTTTAAACTGCTGCTCTCTTCTGTCATACCTGTGACTAAACTTAGTCTTTGATCACATTCCTCTGTGGCTGGTCTTTTCCACTGTGAAAGGAAAATTAGAACTAAAAAACAAAATCAGTTCTATCCTTAGAATAGTTTTTCCCCTGTGAGCATCCTTTGGAGAATTAGATTTGCTCAGGTAGCAATAAGCAATTTTGTAGGTGGGGTTGAGTGAGGAACTTGGCATCCCAGGCTGAAAAGGACAGGGCTGCCACACATTCCTTGTGTCACAGAGGTCACTACACTTCCGAGGGGCATGTCAGCAACACCTTTCATGGCAAAAGCCAGCTTCACTTCCCCCTGCAAGGAAGGGCTGGGACCAAATAGCTCCAAGTTACTTCCCAAAATGTGAAAGATGCTGGTGTAGGTGAGCAATTTGTCTGAATGGGGGGACAGGCCTTTTGTCATTCCCTCTTTGCTTCCAGGACTGCAGCAAAGACGCTGCATGTGTTTTCTTCCTGGGAAATTAGACTTCAATGATTTGGGAAATGCAGGTCTTGAGAGCTGCCTGCACAGAGAAAATGGGTAATTAGAAGCATGTGTTGTGCTGTGAGTGCTCCAGAGAGCTGTCTGGGTCAGAGTGAAAGGCTGGATTAGCACAATGTGACAGTGCTGTGCAGATGCAAACCTGGGGTGCCTTTAACCATTCTAACCTCATTACAAACTTAGTTGAAAACGGGGGTTATTTATTCATAGGGTCTCCAGTTTGATGACTTTTTTTTCCCTGGCAGGATCTTAGATGGAGATCTATATTTACATATAATTTTTTGACCAGCCTGTCACCCAAGTTTTTTCTGAAAACTGACTTTATACAAAGTAAAACTAAAATACTGGCATTTGACTCCAACTGTAGGAAAGAAAGGTTATAGTTTAGTTAGGTGTCACCTAACAGCAAATTAGCCTTTAACTCAAATCTATCTAAAATGTCCTAGGTTGTAGATGGAAAAGGACTTTGGGTTGGCTTCAAGATGCCTGTTGGATACAACCCACAATGCTGAAAAAAGCTTCTAGGACAATATACATGAAATAAAATTGCACTTTCCATCTGCCAAGTCCTTCATTTTTGCTCTGTTTGAAATTGGTATTGTGGGGAGGTAGCAAATTATGTTGTGATGTGTTTTAGCTAAACAATCTCATGGTTATGGCTGAGTAATGGAGAACTTTTATACTTTTTTTTTTTGCGAAGGAGTTCTCTGAGTTTGATGAAATACCCTATAAAATCTTTGGTTAAAAATAGAGATGCTACCTCCTCTTACAGAGGTGGGCTTTGTGCTTAATGCTTTCTCTCATGAAAATAATAATGCTAATATTTTTAATACTAGATTCTTATACAAAGGGGAGAAAGGTATTCTGCTTGTGATACTCTAAAGATCACTCAAGTATGATCAATAATCCATTAGCAGGAATCTGTTCCATTTAACACCACTAACAAGTTTTTCCATCCCTTCCAAGTGTAAAGCAAGACAAAGAAGTAATCTGGAAGGTTGAACTGTGGAGGAAGTCCAAATAGTGCCAAAATAGTTTAATATGAAGTTGCTTAGCAGAAGCCACATCTAAATCAGCCTTATTTTTAATTCAAAATGTCTTGTAAGGCTGCTAGTGTCTGCTTTGCAGCTGAGAGGCACAGTGAGGGCATTTCTTCAGTAAATAGTGGAGTATTGTGGCCATGAATGCAACAACACTGCTTTACAGAAATTTATCACACCTCACTCCTCGGAAGTATGGAGTGTATCCAGCCTGGAGGAGCAAGAAATGACAAGGGATGATACAAGCACTTCAGAGTTTTTAGCTGTGAGTGACTGGCAGGATGGCCAGCCCTGATGATTTAATAGATTAACTTGGTGAATTGGTGACCATAAATTTTATCTAGTGTTGGTTTGGGATTATCACTTTCCCATCATTTGGGACAGCAATTTAAGGTCAAATCCTATTTTTCCATGCATCACAAATTCTTCTGTGTTCTTATCCACAGGAAGAAGTGTAGGAAAAGGAAATCTTCCTATGGATATTACTGTCTAGCACAATATAAAATATATTTAATGGCTTTTGCTTTTTTTTAGCCTGAGAAATCAAGTTTAAAGGCAAACCAACAATAGAGTCATTCATGGTTTGTTTTTTAAAAGCCACTCATTGTCCTATCTTATTCAAAGCAGAATTTTTCTAATAACCAAATTCTCTGATTCCCAAAGTTATGTAATAAAAACAATTGTCAGATCTATTATGATTGTCTAGACTAGACACAAAAGGGAACTCTGGGGCAAGCATGGAGATTTTCTCATGGAAACAGATAACGGGAAGACTAAAATCTATTCTTCTCTTTTAGATAAGTAGTCCAATCTCTAACCTTTCAGAATAGTTGGGTTGTTTTCTTGGCAGGGGGGAAATGGCTGCAGTAGATTGTTTTAGAAGTAAATGTGCCATTGTCAGCCCTCCTCTGCTGGGCGGGTGATAAGGGTCTGTAAAAGCCCTGTTTTGTCTCCCAAGTAGTCCAGAAGCAAGGCTCTTCCTCTCCTATATGGATCCTTGTGTACGTGAGATAGATTAATGGCCTGTCAGAGGAGCACAAACCAAGCTATGGAGTTGAGCTGGAATGAAATGGTTCTCTTTTCTGAAATCCTCAATGGAACAGATTTTCCAAGTGGGAAACAAAGGCATCTCCTCAGCTGGGCTGCCTGTAGTGGGGGTCAGGACACAACACTGCAAAGGGGCCTGGGTTTGTTTGCACCTGTCCCATCCTGATCCTACACCTCCCCTGCCTCCTGACCCCAGGTGGAATGAGGTGCAGAAAGGCCAGGGCTGCCAAACCCGAAGTTTCTGTTCAGAATTCACTCTGCAGAACAGCAGTAATTTGTGAGCTGAAGCCCATTGCAGATACAAACTGGGTCTCAAGGGGGATGGGAATTTGTTCATGTGTGCTGGTATTTGGGTCACAAGCCTGATGGAAGGGGACAACACAACCCATCAAGTTTGGGAATGGGAGCTGTGAAATGTTACAGCAGTGGGATCATCCCTTGTGGCTTCTGGTAATTAGGTAAAATTTGCTGATTAATGAGGCCATAGTTTCACATACGCTTTAAGCCAGCACTGAAATCTCACCTGACAAATGTGATTAGTTTTAACCTGGATATGCAGCATTGTGGCTGTAGAAAACATTCTTTCCAGTATGGATGAGTATGGGGCTAGAATTAAGGGGGAAGAGGGGGTGTGGGACATGTATATTTCTGAAATTTGGGAATGCAAAAAAAAATTGAGGGGAAAATAAGATAATGAAATATATCCTCTTGCCTTTGAAGATTTTTATCTTTTCAGTCTTTCTCTTACTCAGATCTTCTGCTGTACCTTCCTTTTTAGGTTAGGTGAGGACATTCCCAAGCCAAAAGCCACCTGATCTCAGGTAGTGATAATGGTGTTTGCGCTCCTTCCTTCACGCTGAGCCAATTGTGTGAAATACAAGGCAGCATGAAGTCCCCTAAAAAGCATACAGCTAAAAAACCAAGCTACATTCAAATGCATATAAAGTAATTTCAAATGCACAGGTAGGTTTTACATTAAAAATCTAAAATTATGAAGTCAAAGCCTTTGACTTCAAGGGATGTCATTTCTTTTTTTCTACAATGCATGGTCTAGCATATTCTACTTTGGGCAGCACTGTTTAGAAATTCATTAGTATATGTAAGTAATTAGCAGCCTGGCTTGAGGACATAAAGATTCAACTAAAGGTACATATTGCTGGTGTATGGGATAGACACATAACCCATACAAAGAGCATGCATGGAGTGCTAATTTTACATAATTACTACAGCTGTAACACTGAGAAAGCCAATAGGAAATGGCTTTTGGATATAGAATATAAAATGTATCTCAAAGAATGTGATGGGTTGAAAATGGTACTCTTAATACAGTAGAAACCATGAAGGGGACAGTTCTGTACAGGATTTAGTAATTTTCCCCAATTTTTTATCTCTTGTGACCTTGATCTTTTTCTGTCAGTTCCACCAATCTTGTAGGTGGAGTGGAAGTTGGCACTTTTGAATATTTCTTCCTCTAAGAGCAGGAAGGAGCAGTGAGAGTAAGAGAAAAGAGCTTAATTGTTGCGTTGCTACCTAAGGTAAGGGTTGCAGAAACTTTTCCAGGAGCTGGGTAAGGTTGGTGGCACTCGCAAGTTCTGGGTGCAGCCCAGTGATCAGCAGAAATATGATGGCTGTCAGGAATGACACAAATGTGTGGTGATGGGGCAGGCTCCCTGGGGTCAGGAACCCAGGGAGTCCACTTGAGTCAGGCACAGCAAGGGCAGCACTGAGCACAGACCTCAGAGAAGAACCAAGGAATTAAGCCTGAACTGAAATGTGGCAGTGGCCAGAGTGTGGGATGGGGGTCCCAGGAGAAGCTCTTCAGGGCAATGATGCACTCAGGATCCAAACAGACTCTGAACTTCTTCAGGTAGCTTTTATTAGCAGGATAGCTTTACTATAGATGGGGGAAAAGCCTACTTTGCACTTGGATTAAAGTTTAGCCACTTTAATTTTCACCCCAGCAGAGCTCCCTGTTACAGAGAGGAAGCAGTGCTAAGTGCTCTCACCAAGAACACCTGAACAGCATATTCTTTGTAGAAAGTTTACCCTTCCTATTAATTTAGGTTAATTGTAGCTTTGCAATTGCTACCCGCAAGAGGAAAAGAAGAGTGTTTCTACCTCTGAGATGTAATTTGTATTTATGGTTTTTTTTCTGTAATTGAAGCTACCATAAGTTTTGGGTCCTGGTAGTTGAAGGCACAGTGCACACTCAGAGCCAAAGACTGATGACATGCCCCCAGAAAATTTACCAAGTCAGAAAATAATGTAGGAAAAAGTCTCACAACATGCTCACAAAGTGAGAGTTGAGAAGTTTCTGGACTCTGGCTTGCTCATGCTTGCAGAAGAAATATTTTTGACCTGAAGCTGTGAAGTCAAACATGTTTGCTACAAGACCACTGCAACAACAGGTGAGATGGTGGCCTTGGAAGGCATCCAAAATCGGTGTGTTTCAGGAAGAAGTTGGCAAAGCTCCAAAGAAATAGGTTTTATTCTGCTTTTGGGGTGGTTGTTTTTCCTCTGCAGATTGTAGCCTGCATTTATCAATTGAGTTATTTTGCATTTATTTCCATTGTTCTGAGACAATAAATTCTCAGTGGCAAGAGTTGCTAAAATACTGTAAGTACGGCATTTAATTCCCTTCCTTGTCTGGAAAAAAGCTCTTTCGTTTGTAATCACTCTTTGAATAGTAGTCTGTGACCCAGGGAAGCTAATTTCAGCAGCAATAAAAGCTGTGTCTTTTGTGCCTTCAGAAAATAAAATTTTAAGGACCTTGGAAAATTTTTGGAACTTGACCAATCTGCAAATTCAGTATGCCTATTTCTGTGTCCCAGTATTGGGAGAAGGAGCCTCTAAAGTCTTCTCAGAGACCTAGAATAGCTTTTATTTTTTAACTAACTTCCCTATGCAGTGTAGTTCATATTTATTTTGTTAATAAAGAGAATTTTACTTAAGTTTTGGGAGGATAATGGTTACATGACTTGTACTGGAAGAAAACTTCCCACTAAATCTTAATGTATTACATTTCTGTGTCCTGGAGGGAGCTGTTCAGCCAGGTTAGCAATTAAACAGCCAACAGGAGTATTTTACTGCTGAGCTGAGAGAAGTCATCAGCTCCATCATCTTGCATCTAAAACACTTGTGAATCTAATAATTATTTTTGTCAGCCAGTCCTTTGTGCTTTCCATCTCAGCAACACTCATTGTCAAACAGCAATTTCACTTGTTAATCTTCCTCCTGTCTCCTGCTGAGGTTGTCTTTTTGGCCTGTTTCAGATCCAGCGTGTTCCTTCTTTTGACAATGGTATTTGAGTTTTGCTCAAACCTTTTCCCAATTGCCTCCTTGTGGGGTTAGAAAAATAAAAACAAAACCAATTCTGGTTTGTTTTGCAAATCTACCCTTAGATTATTACTCATGCAAAATTCCAAATTGCACTTTGAAAAGAGGGCTTAGGGATGTTGATGTTTTACCATTTGCTTCTCTGTCAGCAGCGTTGGGATCTTGGTCCATGAAATTCCAAGTCTGTCCTGTAAATTTGGGGTTATCATCTCAGTGCAGGCCTAGCAAAGGTGTTCCTATACTGTAAGTGCTTTCAGGTTATCCATGCTCCAATCCTTTTCTGTGTTTATATGGACATCTTCATGAGCTGCAAAGATACTCCTGGTGCAGCCATCAGAGAAATGTCCACTGCTACCACTTCCCTTGACTCCTAAAGATGCCCAGTTTGGCTGGTTTAGTTTGTGCTGTGCCGTCTGTCTCCTTCAGGAAATCACCACTGACAGGATGCCTGGTTAGAAGCAAAACCTCAGTGCTGTGTGACTCTTGTCCTGCTTTGCAGAGGAGTGGTGACAGTTTGCTGAGTCTGGAAACACATTTCTCTTATCTCCAGGACAAGCACAGTGACTGTTGCCTGCTTCCACCATGAAGGACTATCAGTGCTGTTCCATCTTGGTTACAGACATGACTAATCCCTCTTACTACTTTTTCTTTTCCCCCCCCCCCCAGAACTGCCAATTAAGCTTTTTCTATGATCCTGCTCTAATATGTTCAGATTAAATGGCGGTGGGTGACTATAAACAGCCCTACTACAGGTATACTCAGTGCAGCTCATTTCAGCAGAAATGTGTTAGAGAAATTGTGAGTCAGGTGGAGAAGCAGCATAGAGCTTCAGGCAGGAGGGAATTAAAATGTCCTGGAGACAGACAGATATTTGCCTTGGCTTCCTGTTCACTTTATCTCTGATTCCTTCCTCATCCCTTTGTGGGGTGAAGACTGCTATCATTGCCTTCCTCAGCAGATCAGCCCTTCAGAGCAGGAGCAATCCCATTCCATGAGTCTGTACCTTCTCCATGGTGAGTTTTAAGGTGATGTGCAGTGAGAAGGGCACAAGGTCCTAAAAAGCTTTGTGTACAAAGGATATAATTGGTATTTATTTACCACCCCTAGATTCTCTAGGGTCTCGCTTCTTTAGCAGCAAATGTGGTCAACGCTCACAAGAGATGTTTTCCCACTTGTCACTCCCAGAATCACAGAATGGGTTGGGTTGAAAGAGGCTTTAAAGCCCATCTTGTTCCAACCCCTTTCCCTGGGCAGGGACACCTTCCCCTAGGATACCCTTTGGATATCTAGGTATACCTGAGCTACTCAGGAATTAAGGCAAATGGCCCAGCTGTCCATAGCAGCAGTGAAACTGGGGTATTTACCCTGCAAAATGATGTTATCACAGCATTGCTTTGGGAACAGGACACTAAATTCCATTAAGTCATGCAGCTGTGATAATATGGTTTCTTTACAGTGGTATGTCTGTTATTTCTGGGTTTATCTGTAAAAGTGTTGCCATCCAAACATTTTCTTGCCAAATGCCCCTAAATTGTTCCAAACTTAATCAGTTGGGGCTTACACCTTAATCTGGGGTAAGCAGGCTTTGGTGTGGAGCAGTTCTTCCACTCCTGGCTGCATATTCCCTGCTCTCCCCACGGGTCACATCTGGGCTTGTGGCACAGCCTGGGTCGGGCCAGCAGAGAACAAACCTGCCAGAACCCATTTGCCTTTCAGAACAACTGTTGAGCTGATCCGCACAACCACTGGGTCTCATGAGTTGTGGAAGAGGGAGAGGCAAGCACTGCCTCATTCTTTGCCTGCCTGGAGTTGTCCTGGATTGGAGGAAAAATTAAGATGTTCTTACTATGAACATTTTGGTCCAGGAGCTCCTGGCTTAATGCAGAAAAACATTGCTTGTATATTCCAGCCCATTAGACCTGAAACCTAGACTGGCTGCTTCTTTCTTTTTCATATTTATTTGATACATTACTTTCTATTAAAATAATTAAACCATGAATCTTCACATTATTTACAGTTTTTCTCATGTTATTAAACTGTAATTTGACCAAGAGATATGAGCATAATTTACCATGTGATTGCATAGCTTTTAATGTGTGCTTCTGCAGTGAATAGCAGCTATTAAGCTAAGTGGTTTGCCCTGTAAAATGACATGATGTCATAATATTTCTCTGAAAATACAAAATTAAGTATCATTAAATCCTATAATTAGGTAGGTATAGGTTATATTTGCAACTTGAAAAATGGAGTCAGGCAGCCTGATTCTTCCTGTTGTAGTATTCCAGGAATTTTGTCAAAACTGTACAGGAGCAAGTGTTGTGCTTTACAGAACATGAGCTGCTTCCCCAGCCCTGTATTTCAGTGTAATTCTCTTTTTGTTCTCCTTCCAGGAACTGGGGTTTTCCAACATGTTTGTAACAGCAAAGCAACTGTTCCAGGAGTGTGTATATTCTTTTTTAAAATAATAAATCTCTTTTTTGTGTGTATTTTACTTGTTCTTTAGAAATCATGTGGATTTCATAGATGATAGTGTAGTGTGATCATAAACTAATGTTTTGGGTTTTTTTTTTTTTTTGCTTTGGACAAATATTTTGTCCTCTTTTTTCCCTTGTCAAATTTTCATAATGTTTTTGACAGGTTTGTTGTTTCTTTTAAATCCTCCTCTAATTCTAAAAGAAATAGTTGCTTTTTTTGGAGAATTTAACCTGATTTGTATTACTTCTATACTTCTAATTTATTTTCTTATTTTCTACGGCATTGGATACTTTAGCATCTGCTGTAGTTAATTGATGTCTGGTGCTTCTCCTCATTATCTATATTCACTTTTACCTCTGAAGGTATGCCAATGTATCTACATATATATATAATATAATTTTTGTTCAGTGCTATATGTATATATTCTAAGTTGTTTAGAACAAACTATTAATTTGAAGATTACAACTCCGAAGTTAGAGGGATGTATCACAGCTCTGTTTTGCAGCTGACAGGTGACTCTGCCTCTGAGACATTCCAACGCCTCTCGTGAGGGACGCAGTGAAATAAATGCTTTGTGCCATCTACCGGTGCCGGTGGGAGCTGCGCGTCAGCTCGGGGCCGGAGTCGGGACGGACTCAAGCGTGCACTGCGGGAAAAGAAGGAACCTCGCTGGAGATAAAGACATAAAATAATAAACAGCATTCCAGTTAAGTGCTGACTAATGTTAAACATGTGCAAATTAACTCACGCATTAACCCATTTTCCACTCCTGCCTTCCCAAGCGTGCCCTACAACTTCATCCCCATTTTTAAAGACTCTGAAAGCATTTTGTTTTGCAGGTAGGTCAGTCATGTTTTAACAGAGTGGAACAGTCCAAGCTGATGGTGTAGAGTGTGCTGTGAATGTGAATATGGTTTGTCTAGACCTGTTACTCTTTCTATAATAATTCATAATTACAATGTATATGATGATCACTTACAATTAAATATAACTCCCCCAAACACATTCTCCCTCATGGCTTTTCTCTGATGCTTATTCCTTTGTTAAGCATGGAGTTATAAAGCTGCTGGGATGGGAGACTCCAGCCTAACTGAGTGCAGGGTTAAATAAGGCCTTTTGGCTGAAACCTCTTTGTATCCCACAGCCTCATAATAGGCTATTGTATTTTCTGGGGTTTTTATAAGGCTCAGATGTCACACTCAATTCTTGGTTGTTTCAGTGTCATCAGTGTTATCACTGATGTGTTTAATACATTTGCTGTACTTTCTGATCGTAAATATTATTTGTTCTTTCTTAGCTGGTTTTTAATTCTTTATCTCTCAAGGGCATAAAGAGCAGATCCACAAATGCCCCAGTGTCCTTCTAGTTACGATTGTTCTGTGCAAAGGGAGAAAATCCAAGAAATTATTAGGGAAAAAAACCAAACAAACACCCCAACCAACCAAACAAAAAAATTAAAACCCCAAAACTGAAATATCCAAATACAATTTAGAATATTATTTGCTTTGGTATCATGTTCAAGGATCCAGACACTTCACTTGCTTCCAAACTCAAGAACTCATTCCCAGATGAAGTGTAACCTTCAGGTGACACACCTGGCCTAGAAATGAGGATTCTCTGCTTCAAGTAAAACCCAGTTTATTCTGCCCAGGAGGGAGGTATTTTCTTCATTTGCAAAGGGTTTTTAGATGTTTTTGGTTAAAAATACTGTAAAAGCAGCTAGTAATGTATTTTTGTGCTGGTTTTGATATATGTAGTTAGTGATCTAATTGTATATACTTTGAAAAGTTGGATGGGTGGGATATTAAATTTCTTTAATTTCAAGTTATCTAAAGGCATATGTATTACAACATGTTACCTGCGACAAGTACAGGTACAAAAATCAATACAGTAAATTAGTTTGATTTTAGATTGTACTTCAAAGTGCAAATATTGATTTAAGCAAAAACAGTATTGTTTTCAGCAAAGCAGAATTTCATCCAAGAATGAACAGGTGGATTAAATACAATTTTATAGAAAAATACTCCGCTTTTTAATATTTCAGTTTTTTCTTCTCTTGCCGGTAAATGTCCCAAACAGTCATCTTTGCTTTTTTTGTGACTGATTGTTATGCCTGGGAAAACGAACTGCAGTAAGTGCACAGTTAACATGTTTCATGGAGGGGAAAAGTAGTTAATTATTGCTACAGTTCAGCTACTACGATCAGAGCAGTGACTCATGCAAGTGAAGCATATAATTGTCCATGTAATTTGTTTGAAGTCAGCTGGGTTCCAACATTCTTGTTCCTGTGTATAGCTGTTAATTTTTCTTTAGTTATTTTCCCTTCAAAATGTGTTGGAATTTGCTGTGAGGTTGGGGTTTTTTAATACATTATTACATTTATACATATATATATGTATATTGTTAGAAAAGTATCAAGTTGTGTCTGACAGCCGGAGAAGGGCAAAATTGCTGCAGCTCCATGTCCCCCATGTATCAGGAGCAAGGCTGAAAATATTTCCCATAAGACTCTGGCACAGCTCACATATTCATTGTTTAAACCAGAAGAAAATCTTGATTTCTATACTCCTCCTTATTCCCTTTTTAATGACTGTTGTTACTACTCTTACACTCTTTGTCATCTGCAAAAGGCTGTGAATTTGGGTTAGATTCACTCCAGTGGGAAGTACTGTAGACTGGAATTTAAAACTAACCTACTTTGTATAGGTGGAAGAAAAGAACACACTTTTACTCTGGGCAAGCTGGAAACTTCTGCTTAGGTTTGAGGCAAACTTTTACCTTCTTTAATATACTAAACACATTTTGTTTTCAACATTTTGGAATCACGAGAAAATGGCTGAGGATGATCTAACATTTGCAGGTTTATGCAAACATTTTTTAGTAGATCCTACTCTATCCAAGTGAACTAAAAGCAATGTTTTTAAACAAATTTAAACAAATGAGGAGTACTTTTCACTAATAACTTTTTTTCTCCTAAATTCCAAAAGCATTTTCTGTTCCTCTGTATTTTGATCTTGCTGTCATGGGTAGAACTGGCAGAAATCCCACACCTTCCATATGCCATGTGTACCTATATCTGTAAGGTTCTTATACAAATCCCATACTTTATAGGCTTGTGCCCATGCAGAGCACAGTTGTCTTGCTTTTGTTCCCAACACAGGTGAGTTGATTTCAAGACAATGTGGTAGAAAATATTTCTTTGAGACAGGAACTGGTAGGTTCTGTTTAATTCCAGCAGCAGGGCCCCAGGGTCCACCATTGCCCTAAAATCACCTGCAGAAGGATTCATGGCTCTTAGCAGGCTTTCATCCTGCTGAGACAAGGAAAGAAGTAACAGCCACCAGTCACCAACTGCTGACCTAGATTAGTCAGCATACAGTTGTTTTTTGTCTTCAGAGGACATCTCTGAAGTGATGGAGAGAAGCTGAGATACTGCAGGAGGATATGAAGAGCCAATTGGGGTGACTCTTAACATCTTCCATCGTTTAGTCATGAGGTTAAAAGATAAGGAAAATCTCCTTTGGGAGGAGATGTGATTGGATAATACTGGTATAAAATAGAAATTACTGTCAGTGGTGAAAATACGCCTTTAGAACGGAATCAATACTCTTCTGGGCATTATGGGAAACATGGAATTTAGTTATACAAAGTACATTAATTATTCGTTATTCAGTGGATCACTAAAAACTAGGAAAGTTATTCTGGATGCAAGGGTTCCACCATAGACAAAACTCTGGGCTTTGGCAGGTGTTGTTCATCCTAAAGGAATTCTATTGCAGAAAATGGATGATAGATCCTTGGGTTGCAGGAAGTCTTGTGCTGTTCCCCTGAGTGGAACTAAAATCAAATGGAATTAATCTCTCAGGGTTATGTTTTGTGCCTGAGAAAATATAGTGAAGGCAATACACTGGTCACGGTAAAGCACTAAAGTTTAATCTCTTACTTTCCTATTGTCAATAAAACTAAGCACGGCCTAACAAGCCTGGGACAGCCTTCCAAAGCTTTGCATCAAACCCTTCTGTCTCCATGTCTTCCCTGATATTCTGCACATTAGGAGCAAACTCCTCCATCCCTTCACCATGAAACTCTTGCACTTTATTTTTTTGCTGCCTTCTGTACTTGACTGTACAGCCCTGCTTTTTTAGCACCAGTACAGGAGTGCTGCAAGCTCCTCCTTTGACCTCATAAGGCTTCTGTTCCTGCTTACCCAGCCAGGTCTTCCACATGCCTTCTGCGGCACTGCCATTCCTTTCCATGTTCCAGGACAACAGGGGACAGACAGCTGGCCTTGAAAGTCCAGCAAACTCAGAGACAAGCTTCTCTCTGCTCCTAGAGTTCATAACCTTAAAGGAGCTCAGCACAGGGTCCAGCCCTTTGTGCTTCTAAGGAAGGCTGTTTATGTTGGAAGGTGAAAGAAGGAAAGGTGAAGGATCACAAAGGAGAGAACACTTCTTCAAGGCAGACATTTGATTCTCTTGTTTTGGACTTAAGAGCAAAACCATCTGCATGGTACAAGCAGTGCCAGGCAAAGGCTGGCTGCTATCCCTGGGGGTCTGGCAGGACAGGGAGCAGGAGCTGGATTTCTCACAGGTCAAAAGAGAAAGTTTGAGGAAGAACAGGAAAGTGAGAAGTATGGGTATCCTTCCTCTTCAAGCTGTCTTTAGAAAAGCAGGAGAGGTTATTAAAAAAAAGTTGTGTGGAGATAAGACATTGCTACTCCTTATATTTAGGGCCCCAATTTGCAAAATCAGCTTCAGATCCACATGTGTCAGGTGGGTCAGAGATTTGATGAAAAGATGTCTGTTCTCAGTGTTTTCTGTGCTTATGACAAAATAACAGCCTATGAGCCTCATTCTCCTTGCTTTACAGTAAATACAACACAAACTTCTCTACACACTGGATCAGAGTCTCATTTATTTGCAGCAGGAACTGTGTAGCAAATCACCTCACTCCCGATTTCCTCTCCTGCTGGAATTTTCACTTTGTCCCAGCGGTTTTGCTCCCGGTTTTATCCCTGGCTGTTGGAATGTGCACGAGCACCAAAGCGAGGGGCTGCGCTGGGAAAGGTCAGGCCAGCCTGGGGCACAGCGAGGAGCCGGCTGGGCAGTGGAAAGTTACAGCCCTGAGCTGCTGCAGGAGCTGCCCCGCTCCTCGGGAAATGTGATACCTGCTCCCAGAGACCGTGTGGAAAAGGCTGAGTACTCTTCTTCGAAGCGCTCCTCTCGTTTGAGGGGATTTTAGAGTGATTTATCATGTATCTTTATTAGAGGAAATTTGCTTTAATCGCCCTAATCTAAATCTGTTGCTTATAGTGCCAGGGACTGCAAATATTAGTGTTTTATCAGTATTTCTTCATTGAAAACTATTGTGATATCAAGCATGATAATTCTGCATGAAAATGATATCAAGCATGACTCAGTATGAGAAGAGTGATGGACAAAAATAGGCCAATTCTTTTCAAATCCTATTCTGTCTTTAGTCCTTCCCTGTGTATTGTACCAGAGCCCATGAACACAGCTGAGCAATAATATTTGCTAGTAGCTGTTTGTGTTTCCAGTGGAAATCAGTAGTAAATCCCAGTGTAAAACTGTTTTTCATCCACAAGGTCTGTTTGTCCAAATTTCATTTGCTGGATGTAACATGGAATTTGTCTTTCTGCTTTTGGTAGGAACTCCTTCAGTGATGTTTAATTTTACATCACATTCTAGTAACTGCTATAGAAAAGATCTGGGTGAAGGTTCATGACAACAGTCCAACTATTTGGCACAGGTTTTCTGTAAACAAATCAGTGAGTTGTTTAACCAGTGTGAAGTAAGAATTTCCCAATGCCTTTTGAATGAATGTGCTGCAGTTACAAAGAGATTTCATTAACTAATGTGAACCTTCAAAAGAAAAGGAAGAACAGGAAGAAAATCTAGTGAAATGCATGTTACAATTGTAGGTGGAGCTGTGGATCATGCAGCATGTTTTGGGTATGGTTATTATGGAAAGGATGGGTTTTTCCCTACTGTGAACTGACTATTCTGCTTATATTTCAATAATGCCTCAAGTCTGATAAGATAGGGAGCTGATCAGAAATTGCTGGTCTTGGGAACCCTGTGAGACCTAAACCAGCAGTAATCTGGGCTGTCATGGACCTGAAAGTGGTTTGGCCATTCTATTTAGAGACACACCAAAATATAGATATACTTTATAGTGTTTGAAATACCAGTATGTCTCTAGAGACTTTAATCAGAAAAGATAAGAGTTGGAGCAATTCAAAGACAAGGCATGTTGTCAGTTCAAGGTGGCTTTAAAATACAGGGCAACCTGTGTGGTTGTAAGTCCTAGGAAGTGCATCACTCACTGATGACTAAACTCTGACACTGCACAGAGACAATTCAGAATATGAGTTTAGTGTATCGGTAGAAATGTGATTTACAATGCTGGTCAGAGCAAGCTGATAGCAGCCACGAAAATGAAGCTACATAGATAAGCTTTGGCAATATATCACATAAGTGTCCTGCAAATTGCTGAGCATTTAGCATCTGCTTGCTACTATTTTGCACATCCATTCACTGTGAGACGCCACGTGTTAGCAAAGAATTACTCGACTCAGTAATGACAATTTTTTTTTATGTTGTTTTGATGCTTCTAATGTGCTGTTCACACAGGAAGCCAGTCAGGCTGGTTTAAGTGGCTACTCAGCTTTGTGGTAGTGGGAGTAAGAGAGCCTCTAGACAGGAATCCAACTCCAAAATTCTGTTTTCCAGGATCTGCATTACCCATGAAACTCTCAGCCTTAGGTGTTCCTCACAAACTGCTCTATAAAATGCCATGGTGATAAGGTCCACGGATGACCACCAAGGGACCATATGGAAAAAGGGCTGAGACCTATCTTCTAGCCTTGCTCCTGACCACTTGACTGAACATTGACAGTTTTCCTGAGCTCTATTCCCACATCAGTGAAAGAGAGAAAAGCAATGTTCTGAGCTGGATCCGTGTCCCCATTCAGTTAAATATCTAATCATGCTCTTTTCCATGAAGAGTGAGGTAAGATGATATTTGTCACTTCATTGTAATATCTCAGTATGTTCAGGAAAGTGCCTTTTCTGAGACATATACAGGACAAAAAAAGTTCAAGCACACATTCTGAACTTAGGAAGATTCCTTCTGTGTGGAAATTCTGTCCTCTAACAGGCCATTCAGTTACCTCATGTGGAAAGAGAGCTTTTGCTCAGCAACCAGAGGGCTAAAACACAAAGAGAGGACTCTCCTTGTTCTTGACATCCTTCTCTTTAGTGGCCTATGCAGCCAAATTATTCTTCCATTTGAAAAGCCAGTTCTCAGTTCTGGCTGCACCTGGCAGCAGCATCACAACTTTTTTGTGATATTAACTGAATAAAGGAAGATATGTCAGACTTGCAGCGTACAACACTTGGAGGTGGCACTGAGACATGAATGTGTAGTTCATTAACAAAGGTAAGCAGGAGGATGATCTTCTGTTGCTCTTTAGAATACCTTGGGCAGGCTCTGAAAAGGCCAAATCTTTCTTTTTCTTAAAGCTTAAACAGTTCCAGATGCCTTTAAGACAAGAAATAAGTAGCAGATAAGTGAGCATTGCTTTTCCTTTTCTAACAGACTCCCCCGAGGTGCCAGGGATGCTTTGTGACCTCTGGCATGACTCTTTCAATGGGGCTGCAGAGCCAATACGAGCCCAGGCTGCTCTCAGAGTGCCTTGGACACTTATCAGTGACCGTGGAGCTGTTCAGTGTGAGTCTGGCAGGGTGGCAGTGACTTGCAGGGCTTGTTTAGCATTCCTGGAGGCTGCAGGGGATCAGCTCCAGCACTAACAGAGCTCACTGCAGTTCACAGCCCTATGCTTTGGCTATGGCTTGTACTTAAAATCCATCCCTGGCCAGTAAGTGGCCACAGGTTAAAGGAATGGCACGCTGCTACTGATTAGGAGTGCTCTGTGACCCACTTGGGAGAGCAGAAGGGATCTACTAGAGACTATAAAAAAATTGATTGAATTTATCTGCCTAGTTAACTGGCGGTCTGGGAAAAGAAATCTTGCTTAATGCAACAGATTGTTTCAAAGTAAAAAAAAACCAAACAAACCCAAGCTATAATAGGATTTGGATGGAAGACTTTGCCTTTTAAACTGGACCCCCACACCAAGAAAACATAAATTTTTCTTTTTACTGTTAGGAGTTTTTTTCCCCCATTTGACTCCAAACTCAGTATCTTAACTTTAGTGGGTTTAAAACAAACAATTGGAATATGTGTACTTGGAGCCAGTCCTATGGTTCTAGGAAATTCAAAGTTGGTTTATATAGTTTGGGCTTCCTGTAGGAATAAAAAATACTAGTCCCCTGGTAGCATAGCGGTGTATGGCTGTATTGAAATGGAATTCATTGTCTCCTGAGCTTGCTGGGTCACAGTATGTCCCATGGCATTCTAAATACCCTCAGACTTAACACTGGATTGGCTGCAGGGCAGTGAAGGTAAAAGAGGAATGTTCTGCATTGATAAACCTGACACCAAGCCCATATGGGAGAGATAGTGACTAAAAGGATCCTGGGTTACTCTGCATGGCCCTGTGTGGGTCTGTGAAGGGGCAAAGCCTGGGGTCTGTCTCCATTTTAACTGCTGGTGCCAGCAGAAACTTTTCTGTTAATTTTAGTATTAGATCCCCACATGACTGTGGAGTTTGATGTTTAACTGTATCATGTGTCCTCTTCTAGCAAACTCTGAAATGACTGAATAAAAGTAGAGTCACACAGGACTAATGGGAGTTTTGATTGTTGTTGTTGTTTGTTTGTTTTTTGTTAAAGAGCACAATAAAATCTTTCGTAAATTCTGAAGAAATCCAAAGTGCTGCATGTGAGGCTTTACTGCCACCTTTCTTTTCGGCACAGGGCTGGTGTTCTGCAGCTCTGGGTATTGAGTGATTCGACATCCTGGGAGAAAAAGCTGTCCTGGCTGAGGGGCTGCTCCCTGCATTTAAACTGAGAGCTGCCTGACCCACCCAACTTTTTATTGAGATTACTCTTGGTTCTGGCACAGTGAGCTTCCCTTTCTCCTGAGCTGGCTGTAACACAGGTACCAATGACTACTGTAATCTATTAACTTCATTTTGGGGTGAAAAGCTAAGAAAGCCTTAATCTGAGTCCATATCTGTGTCCTGGCCTGAAATGTTATTGAGCCTGAGATTAGTGATGGGTGCATTTTGAAAGCAGTGGATTGAAGGCCCAAATGATGAATTGCAGCATTTCTAGGTCCTTACTGGAAATATATCCCAGCAATTCCATGGAAAAACAGCTCCCACACCAGGGAGTGCAACTGTAGGAGACACATTTGTGTGTATGTAGTTGGATCCAAGTAAAACTAAATCCAAAGTGGCAGTGGCCCAGGATGAAACTTGATGCTAATTGTACATAAATAGCAGAGGGACTGTCATATGACAGGCTATAATCAATAAAACATTCCTGTTGGGACTAATCTGCATGTCAAGTGTCCTTACTGGAATGGAGTGCTGGCACTGCTGTGTACCCTGATTTAAGAGTTGTTCAGGATTTATTCCTCACAGAAAATTAATTTCTACTTCTTTTCACTCAAAAGATGTGGACTAAGCCAATGAATGAAACATTTTGTGGAGTAGCTGCTAGACACTGTATCTATAGTTCTGATAAGATAATGTATGTGTAGAAGTGCATTCTTGGAGTAAAAATTGACTTTTTTCCCCTAATAAGAAATCTAGGATTTTTTGTTTCACCTAGTTAGAAACCAGAGCTCAGCCTTGGTAGATTCTATTCATTTTTTTCTTTGCACAATATCACATGTCTAGAATTGTTCTAAGGCACAAGTCTGTTTCGTAGATTATTTTTTTTTTACAAGGAACAGTTTGGTGCTCTTTGTGATCACATCACAAATAGCATGTTGAGAATTTGCTGATTTTTTTGGTAAATCCCAAGTTCTAATAATTTGCAGCTACAATTGCTTGTAGCCCTAATACTATAATCACTTCTAAAACTTGACATGTAGGGAATTTTTTCCTTACTAAAATTATGTAGAGCTGCATTAAAATGATAATGGAGAAAAAGGAGTGATGGCTGCAAAGGAAACTGTAGAACCAGAGTTGAGAGAAGGCTGAAGAGTATGATTTCATTCAAACGAAAAGGAGGAAATTATCTAAATAATGAATTAAATGTGTGATTTCATTCAAATGAAAAGAAGGAACTACCCTAAATAGAGGTGTCAGGAAGATGAGCACCTGAACTGGAGCCCTAAGATATTCTGATGGAGAACATTTTGTGCTTGTGAGTGTTTGGGTGAGAGTTCCACTGACTAAAGTCAGTGTGATCAGATTGACTTTTAAATAAATACCATCTTTCTTTTCATAAGATCTCACACAGGATTTTGTTACAGGAGTTTCCTACAACAAAGTTAAAATCTTATTGTGTAAATGCTTGGAGGGCCAGAGAATCATATGACAATTGGTACATTATGAAAGGAAGTTGCAGGAATTTTCCTCCAACTTTATAAGTTTTAAATCTACTAAGAGGAATTAATTTTAGTCCTCTACACCAAATAATCAAAAATGCCTGCACAGAGAACTGGCTGATGAGATGAGCCCCGTTAAGAGCTGCCCCTCTGTGTGACAGTTCCTGCTGTCCCCCCTCTTTGGAGGATGTTTTTGGCATCCTGCAGGTTTGGGGGCTGCTGCACACAGCCGGCTCCCAGCTGACAGCTCCATTTGCAGCCACTTCTGGCAGGAGGCAAAAGTCTTCAGTTGTTAGGACAGAGTGAGGCAGTGTAGGACCTATTGTGGTGTTCTCTCAGAATATCCAGTGTTTTCCTCTCTTCCCTGTGCTTGTTTTCCCCTGTTCCACGAGGGCTGGGTGAGGCTCTTTTGGACCAGAGCACAGATGAAGGTCCCAGGGACCTTGGGCACTTCTCAGAAGGGTACAAATAACACTTGAAGGGTGCTTTGATTTGGGCCTGTCAAGAAGTTGTCTGGGGTTGGAGGAATCCTTGGGGATTATCCAGCTAAATATTCAGTTACTGAAGAAAACCTATTCCCATTTATAGCACCATTTATCATTTTTGCTGCTGAGTCCCTTATTTAAGACTAAATTTATGAGACTTCTTATTAGATCCGGTTTCTATTTGGAATCCTGAAGTATCAAAAGAATAGGATGTATCCCACATCTAAAAAAACCCAAGAACTTAAAAAAATATTATTATTTATTTTTAAATGATTTTTTAAAAAATTTTATTCCAGGCAATGCTGCTGTCGTCTGAGGAACATCTCAAAGCACAGTGCCCCACATCAGGCATCATTCACAACTTCCTTCTCATCCCACCAAAGAACCCTGAGCTGTATTTCCTCATTTCCCTTCTCTTAATAGTCCATTTTCCTTCCCCACCTTCTCACATTGCTGTCCTGGCATTCCCTTGCATGTGATATTTATATAGTTCTTAGCTGGAAATGGATTTCTTCTGGACCTAGAATGGTCTGGGAATTGCATTACACTCCAAGGTGACTTTCCCTGTAGTTACAGCTCTGTTTCCTATGCTAGCAGGCACCAAAGTCCTGGCTCTACCCTGCTTTTGTCATATGATGCATTTTTCCTCTTAAACAAGGAATTTCCTTGAAACTATTGTTATTTTTAGCCTAAAATCACCTGACAGTTTCTGATGTCACGTTGTGATTCAGCTCCTTCGCCTGAACAAGTGAAGAAACTGTCACTATTTTACTACAAAATTGTTGGTGTTTGCTATTTAGGAGTCTTGAGCTTCTGGGATTGTCACAGATCTGCTGGGATGAAATCCCAATATAATTCTGAAAGAGGAATATAGATTAAATTAATGTAATTTGCCATTAAAAGTTTTCTCTTTCATGTGATAATCTGATTAGAACTGAGGCACTGTTTCATATTTTATTACCCACAGAGGAGAGATTTATGCCAGGTTCTTGTCTCATGTTTGATTCAGATCTTTGTGAACTGTTGGTAACTGGCAAAACATCTCAGTAGAGTTATTTGCATGGAGCTTTCTGAGCCTCTTCTTCAGCATTATTGATACATCTCTAGAAATAAACCTTTTTCTAAAGGTTCAGAGGCTTTAGTTCATGTGGATAAGCATAGAACATTTCACATCACTTCCAAAGTGCAGCAAGAATGTTTCTCTTGTGAATTTTTTTCTTTTTTCTTTAAGGATTGCCATGAATAATGATGGAGTTATGACTCTGCAGCTCAGTGTCAATCCACTGCATAAACTCACCTGTGCTTTTGGAGAGGGCAGGGTGGTGCCTGAATCATGACTTTTTTTCTTTCTAGGAGAGATTAGTTTATTTTTCAAATTTCAAGTAATATTTTCAAGCTGGTTTAAAGAAAGCATTTGGGTTTGTACCTTAGATAAATGACAGACATTTGATCTCTGGTGCAACCCAAACACAAAAAATGTTTGAAGTGAGGGGGATAAAAACTACGTTATCTTCAACTGAAATGATTTCTGTGAGTGCTCACTTCTCCAGTGTTGCATTTTTTATTAACCTGTTTTGTCTCCTTAAATTTCTTTGTCTGGACAATAGAACACAGTGAAGAACATTTCGGTGGAGTTACTGGAGGTGATGGGCCTGACTCACCATGACTGAAACGTGTAAAAAATGATGATCTCTGTAAAAGTCACAACAGAATTGTCCAGATCTTATCTGGGCATCTAGAAGAGATGAGAATCCCTCTGCTCAGGAGAATGGGATGCAATAGAGGTATCACTCATTGCAGCAGGAAAGAATTCCACAAGATCCAGACAGAGGTATTGTGTGTGTTCCTGGTTCAGGCCAGTGTTATGGGTATGCCTTACCTCTTGGCCTTGATTGCAGGCACTATGAACTTCTCAAGGCAAGAACAGGGTGTTTGGAAAGTGCTTGGCGTGTCATGGATCCTACTAGGAATAATAATAATACTCAGAAAAAAAGGATTTCTTGGTTTTAGCATGAGGCAAACTTCTTGTCAAAAGTGCTGACCAATTGAGTTGAAATATGCTTGCATTTGGTGTGGGTTCTGAAAGTGTTAAACCTTATAAAAGCTTTCATGCTGCTGAATTCACCCTTCAGGGAAAGTCACTGGAAGTCTGGGACCTGTTGCTCAACACAGAAAGAAGCAGAGCACAATAAAATTTTGAGCATCTTCCCCTTAGGCCTCAAGGCTCCAAATCCTGTGAGAAGGTTGGGTTTTGCTGAATGATGGGAGGGATAATGTTGCATTCCCTACTCAGAAAGCAGCTGCTAGGTCTGGCATTGGGATGGGGCTGGGAAGTGGAGAGGAATTCAGAGTCCTGAAGATCTTCTGGCTCCTCCTCTGCCTCACTAGACATTTGTAGAAGCTCTTTTTCTGCAGCAGTGAAGATGATACATGGATGGAGCTGGGCTTCCAGGAATGCTCTTGGAGCACGTGGGATGCTGGGCCTTGTTTTTCTTGCCTCAGTGCTCACTGTGCCCACATCCATTCTCTCAGGTAAACAGAGTTGTGATTTCTCTCTCCCTTCTCCTCCATGTAGAACTGGAACATGTGTTCCACTGGGCACCTTCAAAGTAGGTTAAGGGGCTGTCTGGTGCTTAAACATCAAAATAATGTTGTGACCTCGTAGGTATAAGCGGGTTTTGAGGCAATGGTGTGATTCCAGGTAGTGCTTGTGGAATGGATCTTCCTCCTCTGGTAAATTATCTGTTTTCAGGTGATGCCACCCAGCTGTAAATGTTGCTGCTTGTTCACATCACCCCACAATTCCTTCATTTTGGTCTTCTGCTTGACTGGGACTGCAGCAGAGTTCTGACACAATCTCAGCCAGGGTAAGAAAAAAGCATTTTCTGATGTCACCAACCACCACATTGGTTCATACATATCTTAACTCCCAGTCCTCAAGTGCTGTTATTTTTGACAAAATAAATGGGGTTTGTTATTTGCTGTTCATTTGTATGCAAGTTTGTGGTGAGAGAATGGGGACATTTTTTTCCACATCAACTCTAAATCCTTTCTTTTAGTTCTTGTCAGAAAACAAGAAAATAAAGTTATGTGGAGGGGGAAAAATACTGATGCCTTGAGGTGGTCATTATACATCAATATGACTGTGTTACCTGCTTAATGCTTTACTTTCTCTGTGAATCAGCCAGCAAACCTGATGGGAAATTTACTTTCACATTGAGAACTGGAGCATGTGTAGTTTAGAAATTTTACATATTTTTTATAATTTTACACGTTTTAGAGCATGAGCAGTAGGTTCCCTCCAGCTTGCTTTACTTCTACTGGATTTTGCATGGCTGGAGTTTTCTTGTTGTAACAGATAATCCCTAATGACTAATGGCACAGAATACTGGAGGGGTTTTCTCCCTGAGCAGTCAAGGACAAATCAAAACAAAAGAAATATGAACAGTCACACCCAGTGTTGAGTTGCTGTGATCATTATATACAGGACACTGCTCTGTAGAATACACTTGGAGTCGGTGTGGTATTTTCAGCTTCAGTACTTTTAATGTGGGCAGAACCGGATTGAAGATTTTTAGGGTTTCCCAGGTGTGGTATCTCTTAAACACCAGTTCAATGGAGATATTCATACAAGAAGTTCCTCTGGTGTTCTGTGTGTGCACATCTTTGAAGGATCACTTGGAGGTTGGGTATTGAGGTGCTGAGCATCCTTTTTTCTCAAAAAAAAAAAAAAAAAAACAACCCAACAAACCCAACTTTCATTATCACTTTGCAATAAATAACTTTTAATATCACTTCTTAAAAAATCCTTTTTTCCTCCTGTTTGATTTTGTCAAAGGCCCAATTAAAAGTGGTATTCAGTGTCACATTTTGATATCTACTTAGGCACAGAAAGACACCTTGGGGAGTTTTCAGAAGTGTTTAATATTTGGAATGTTTTCCCACATGTCCAAGTCTCTTCTCTGCTGCACAGAAAACAACCCCTGTTGAGAGAAAAGAGCAGCTGAATTCCAGTGACTTTCTCCCTGTTTAGCTGGAGAGTGTGAGACTGTTAGAACTTGTTCTCAGTTTCAGCTCAGTAATTCAGATACCTGCTCTCTGGGATCCTGGGGAGGAAGTACATAATATGGGTGTAATTTGAGTACCACTCTCTTGTCCTACTCTTTCTGACAAGAAAACTGCTTTAGATCACAGAAGAGCTCTCAATTCATTTAGGCTCCTGTGCAGGGACACTCCCTATGTTTATTTAACATCACTTTGGGTTTCTGAGCACCAAAATAAATTATTTACAGAAAACCCCTGAAATTTGTCTGTGATAAATGTGAACCTGAAGATTTCTCCTGAGCTATGTCTAGCATGAACTTTATTCAATGTAGAGATCATGTTTATATAATTGAAATTTTGGACAGATTTTTGACAGATCTTTTAGGATGTAATATTTTGTTTCCCATTACATGAGCAAAACTGTTTATTGATGATGAGAGAAACGGAAAGTTTTGATTTATAGTTTGTTTGCTGCTTCATTATTTCCGTATCCTACATTTACAAGGGTTTGGCAAGAAGTTAAGCACTTTAAATGAAAGTTTGTTCATAGAAGTGAATAAAACACTGGTGGAACCTTCCTCTCACCTTGTCCATGGGTGTGTCTGACAGTTTGCACATTTACCAGATTCATTTCTGTCAAGATAATTAATTGCAGAGGTTTGATGAATTGTAGTGTGACCAGAGATGGTAAATGTTGGTAAATTTTACCAAACTTGTGAGGGTTTTAATTATTATTAGGCTAAAAACATTGAGTTCATATGAAAGCTGAGAGTTCATATGAAAGTTCCATAAATCTGGTGATTTTATTTTTTTCCCCAAACCATGTATCTGGCATTTATTTGTTCTTTTATACTGACAGTCTTTATAAACAATAATGCATCTCTACAAAAATGTGCACTAAAAATAAGTCCTTAAGGGTTTTCAGCCTCCAACTCCTTTAAATCAATGCTAGAATAAATTTGGCAGTAGATCACAAGTTTGTTTAGGAGATGAGGCTGAGAATTATCTACAAAATGGTCTGGTTAGCATAATCCTTAATTTTTGGGTGTGATTTCTATGGTCAATAGACACCAATTCTCTTCTCTGATTATGTCAGCACAGCTGAAAGGTGCAAGCAGGAATGGTGGTTAAACGTAATGAAGGCTTAATGGCATTTTCTTGCGGGGGGGGGGGGGGGGGGGGTGGCTTTTGGATAATTGCTCTGCTTCTACCAGAGTAACCACAGGAAAACATCAGAAGTTTTGAGAAATTCCAGAATTCGGGTTTGAATAAATAATTGCTCAACTATTAGAGCACAAATACTTTGGTATATGCCAAACTAATTAGCAGTTTGCCATGCTACAAAGCAGACTGGCAGCCTGTCTCTGAAATACTGGGAAGAGTCTGAGCTTTAAGGCTTCATTGTGTTAGGATGGGGAAGCCAAGCCTTTGTGCAGAGCTGTCACCTTCAGTGGGTTTAGGAGTTCACAGAGGTTTGAAACTTTAAGGTTGGAACAGCTGCTGTAAGGTTGAGTGATGTCACACTGAGTGTTTTGGGTGTGAAAGCCGACTCTCAGCTTTCAGAAGCCTCTTAAATGTTTGTGTGTTCAAGCTTTTCAGAAAAAGACTCATTAAGGAGCTGCTACTCTGTGTTAGAGCGGAAGTTTTGCATCAGGAGTGGTGATCAGGACAAACAGCAGCAGCTCTGAGGCAGCTGTGAACAGTCCATTTTAACCTCATTGCAGTGCCACTTCTCAATGGGCAATAATAAAGGTAAACTTCGACAATTGGAATAGCACTTGTTTCTAAAACTGAAGAATTAAATCTTACCCTAATCTGATCTCCCTGCCTTTTTTATGCCACACCACCCTCTGGCCCTTGCTGGGGAAGACTCCTGGAAGAGTCTATTTAACTTACAGAACTTTGATATAAGAAGAAAATACCTCAAATATAGTCTTTTTTGTATTTTGGTCATTAAATAGAGAAATCTACCAAAGTGTTGTAACTGTAGTTGGTCAGCAAAATAAATTATTTTGCTGTTGGCTGAAGTTCTGTGCCTTTGCAGGGTTGCCTCAGTGGCTAAGCACATCTTGCAAACACTTCACTTTCACCTTTGCTTGCAGCAGCAGTGTCAGTCACTGCAGCCTGTGGAAACTGCATGGAAGATTCCCTGCAGTGCAGCCATTTCGAGAAGATCCCTTTCCCCCTGCAAGCAGAACAGATCCCATTGGTATCCTGGAAGGAAGGACTGCTTGTCCAGAACAACTTGTCTCTGTTTCAGTGACAGCTTTTAGTCAGAGACAGACAGAGATTCAGCTCTTTTCTAACATATAATTTACACAGATTTTTCCCACAGGGGTGATTTTCAGTAGTAGCACCTTGTTGGGCGGGGGTTCCTCTGAGTTCTTTAGGGAGATTTATTAGTGATGTACAAGCCCATCAACTGTTTTGCAGTGACATTACTTGTATCTACAGCCACGTGGAATCAAAGAGTTTTGTTTGCAGCCTTGGATTGCAAATAATTCTGCAGTTTCCAGTATCTTCAGAAGCTAAGGATTTCTAGGATTATTTGGATAAGAGATAAAAAAAAAAAAATCCAAAAGCCAAAGAACAACTCTCAAATCAGCCATAAATTGAAAGTGGGACCTAGTGGTCATTTAGAAGTGATTCTTGAATATTTGTGGTAATGAGCACTGAATTGTCTCAGTAAAATATTTTTTCCTCTTATGCTAATTTACTTACTCAGTTTTAAAGCAGTAAGAATATAAACCCATGAGAAGTTACTATAACAACACAATAACTACAGTAGCATCTTGTTAAAATAATAATTTTAACAGTGGGCCTAGTGGTGAACACAAACACAAGGATTCCTTATTTTATTGGAAGAATATTTTTGCAAAGAACCCTGCATTATTTGGAGCGTGTTAACTCTGTTCCAGATGTTTTACATCCCACCTGATAATCATAAGTTGTGACATGAAAGAAGTCTAGAAATAACTGCAACTCTGACTCGTTTTTGTTGATCTCATGAAGGTGTGTGCTCAAGTCAGCCACACGTGATCATATTGCCTGTGAGAGCAAGGGAGCAGAAGTAAATGCCTCAATTAATCATTGTAGAAAAAATTCCAGATCTGTAAGCATTCTGCCTGAGTGAGGAACTGAGGATTAAACCTCAGGAGCAGCCAATGCTTTAAACATTTCCATGAAAAGGTCATCTCCAAGCCAGTATTGCTTATCCTGGCTTTTGTATTCCCTGTCAGTCACAAAGGGGGAACACACACATGCTGGAAGAAGGTAATTGTTGCAGATTAAAGCCTCATGTGAAATGAAAGGGCCATCAAAATTCTTTATAGTTGCTTGGCATGAGTTCTGATAATGCAGAGTTCTCTTTTATTATTATTTTAAAATGCAGCCTTCTAGCACAGACTAAACAAAAGTCCCCCAAGACAATAGGAGTAGCCTGTGAGCAGAGTGTGGAACTGCTGTGCACAGCTGGAGCTGGCAGGTGAAACACAGGCACACAAGTGCTTGTTCAAATAGGAAGATTTAGATTTCTTTTACTTTCCCCCTGCCCCCATGTAACTCCATCTCGTATTTTAGTTGCAGATAATTTTTTTTTGTTCTGCCATATTTTAGATCTATCTACCAGCCTTTATTTTACAGAGAAATATATTTTTCTTTTGTTGGGAGAATAAAAAACGCCAAATTCCCTGGTGCAGCATGGCTGCTCATCATGGAAACTTAAAAAATAATAGTAATTAAACTGATTTCTTATGAAACTCACATGCAACAACTACTTTTGACACATTATATGTGATAACAGTGTCAAGATATTTATAAAAGACACTTTGATAATTTTATTCAGGGTTGTGCTTGAATAAGTTACACACCAAGGAGGAATACAGGACATTTTCTTGCAGTCATTAGACATTGTGCAGCTTTTTTTCTTGTTCTGTTTATGTTTTGCACAGGTTGACCCCTCTGTGCTCCCTCTTTCAGGTTCTGTTGTTCCTGATTGAAGTCAATGAGTGCTCTTAGTGCACACAAAAAATTGCAACCCAGTGAGGCTTCCACCCACTCCCTGACAGTCCTCAAGGAAATGTCAGCAGCCACTGATGGGAAGAGGCCTCCTAACTCAGAGGTGATTATTTTTGCTTTGATGCTTTTTAGTGCCTTTGTTGGTATATTCTGATCAGCATGATCCCAAAATAAAACTAATTCAGGCTGACAGATGCTATCACACATTCAGTGTGAATGGAGTTCACTGAGATTTTGCAGTTTTAAGTTACCTAATACTGAAAAGCCACTGCTAAAACATTATCAGTAACTACTTTAAGTGATTAAAAGCCAAAATATTATGCTTAAGCATGTAAATGCAAGATTAAAAAGCTCAACAAAGCTTTGAAATAAAATATCAATAATAAAAAATCTTTAAAAGGATTTTTAAAGAAATAACAAAAATGTCAACTGGACTCAAGTTTTCTGCTTAAATTTATGCCAAAATAATTCAAATTTTTGTCATTTCCCTTTTTTTATGATCAAACTGTGGAATTTCCTATTTTGTTTCTGTTTTGCTACTGCAACTAAAGCAGTCAACAGACAAAGTCATTGTAGAAAACCAAACTTTCAGTAAAATTTGAACAAATGCATGCCCTCCCCATGTTTGCAGCTTCTGTTCTCTGACCAATTTTGTTTTGTGCTGATTTATACTGTCCAGAGTCTGCATGTTCAATCATCTTCATGTTTCTTCTTGTCCACAGTGAGCCCTGTTTCCCTTTGCAGTGCCTGTTTCAGTGGGAAATGTGTATTTTTAATTATCTGCTGTCCTTATTTGAAGAGATGTGTCCCTGCACTGTATAAATGTACTCCTTCTTGTTCCTTGGTGAGTACCCATGCACACCAATGTTATTAAAGTTGTAATTTGCTCTCTCCAAATATTTGCAGCTATCACTGCTACATCTGTAACAGAAATTCCTTGGTAAGAACACTTGAAACTAATCCAGAGTTGCTTTAATTTTTGAATTGTGCCTGTGCACAGATTAGTTTCAGATTTTAAAGAAGAACTTTTTCTGTAGATATTGAGAATCACTTTTCCTGACACTTTTCCATAGCTATTGCCCTCATCAGTGGGATGTAAGAACAGAGTATGATGATGATAACAATAATAATAACAACAATAACTTATTTATTCTTCATTAAAATATAGTTTTTTCTGTTTGTTTTCAAGAGGTTATTCAAAAGATAAGAAGAGCATCCAGAGAAAATATGTTTGTTAGTAATATAGTTTAAATATGGGTGTTTGCCTACCAGTCTGAAAACATCAGCTGGGAGGAGGAAGCCTTGAAATGGTTTTGGTTCATTACAGACTTTAGGCTTCTTCATAATTCAGAGCCTCACAGAGCTGATCCAAAGCCCTCAAATCCCTGGGATCCCTTCCCATGGCCTTGGTATATTTTGGAGAAATTGCCATCCACAGTGTTCTCCCTTCCTGAGCAAGGGCAGATCTGGCAGCATGTTTGGGATCACTCTGGAGATACCCATTACACAAACTTCCTTTGTCTGGGGCTGCTTTGCCAGCAGGATCATTTATCCCAGTTTTAGGGGAGCTATGAAGCTTTTTGTGGGAATCAGACCTCTCCTTCTTACATAACACCAAGGTTTTGTAAGAAGAATTGTAAAAAGCTGGTTAAAAAACACAACAAAAAAGTCCATCCCAGGTTCTGGTTGTACCTGCTTGCTTGGAAGGTGTTGCACTGGATTCTTGGGCCTTATCAATTCCTTGTGAACAGCCTTAAGCACTTAGTGCTGAGGATTCCAAGTATTTTTCTTGTAGTGCTATTTTTAAATACAAAAAAGCCTCTCTGCTAGGTAGCAAAAGGAATTTAAGCTTCTACTGGATGTGTTAGAAGAAGAAAACCTACCTTAAGCCACTGGTTGCTGCCTGTATATTCATGCTTAGCAGGTTATTTCAATACCATGCAAGTTAAATTCATATTCTATATTTGTTATTGATGAATTTGCAGTGATAATTGTGAGTTTTTGTGAAACTGGACTTGTAAGTTATTTGGCTCATTTCTATCCATAGCTGGGTAGAATTGCAGATTATGCAAGCTTTTCTAGTTGCCAACAAAATGATGAATCAAGTTCACAGCACAAGTAGCCCATGAAGCAGAGCAGGATCTGCAGGAGAATGGTCTTGACAGCTGCAGGCTGGAGAGAATTTGTTTTTTTAAGAAGAAGGTGCAAAACCTCTTTTAACTCCCGTGCCTGTAAATAAATCCCCACACCTCAGCAGGGATGCCTGGGAGAGTGAGGGCTGGGCAGGACTGGCATGCCTGGGGACAGGATGTGATTCCTCATATCTCAGTTGGGGTCTGCAAAGTCAAATAAGGGAATGGGAGATGGGGAGAAATGTTTGATACTCCAGGCATGCTGCCTGCCAACATAAAGCAGAGCTGCCCTGAAAAAGGATTTAGTAATTTTCCCTGATGGACTTGAGAATCCAGTGTTTTGCAGCACTGGAAACTGGAGTGGTTCATGCCTTAATCAGGATGTTTTGGGTGGAAAGTGTTCCCCCTGTACCCACTAAAGACATGCAATGGGAGTTTTGCTGTAATGACTCTAATGAGGCTAAGATTTGATTGCACATCTTCTAATCCCACATTTCTGGGTTGATTCATGGCTCCATTTATTCCTCTTTGACCTTCAGGAGCTTGGAGGAGGCAGATTTGGCTTTTTGCCATATTTGTCAGCATTAGTAAAAACAGCATCTCTAAAACTTATTGAATTCTGGGTAGTTCAACAGAATATTTTAAGCACAAGGAATCTGAAAAACACTGATATGCCTAAATAATTGTGTCTTAAAAAAAAAAAATGTGTAATTTGAGGGCATTTTGGTGTAGTATTTAGCTTGAAAGATGCCACTAAGAACTTCTTAGTGCTTATTACATTTTGACGGAAAAAGACTGGGAAGACAGACTGCAATTCTGAAAATTATGGAAGCAATTGCATAATGAGGCTGTAAAATAGGCATTGTCTTAATTCCAAAATCTGCCTTTAAATTTTTTGGCTTGCAGCATTATTGTACCTGATAGTAAAGTAAAAGGAGTTGAGCTTAACTTGGGTTCGGTGCTTTATTGGGCTAGAATAGATGAGAGGCTTGTTCCTGAAATGTTGAAGCAAGAATGTGTTCGAAGTCTTTGAAAATAAAACTGTAGAGAGAGATGAGAAGCAAAAGATGTGTGAATGACTTACTATCACTGTTAATGCTTGGGAAAACTAATATTTTTCTTTCTAGTTGTCTTTAATAGCATTTATACTCCATTCCAAGGTACTGCTTTGTAATTTGAAAATGCCAATTTTGTTGTTTTATGGTAAGAATCTTTCACTCTTCAGTGACAAATAATTTCCCCTTTCCCAGCTTTCTTTTTTCAACCAGGAACCTTGTTGCTGTCTGTGAGCCTTTTGTAACCAATTCCAAAGCACCTTCAAAGCACACTCAAATCTTGTCAGCACCGCAGCTCTTTGTAAGGCACCCCAGGACAGGACAAAAGATGCACATGCAGGAGTGCATAAGGTCATTTAATCAGTGTGTTGCCTTCTGAAGGGGTGGGTGACCCTCTGAGGTGTGAGTGCTTCGTGGTGAGATTAAATTTCACTTTATAACTCCTTATGGATAGTGGATCTTTAACTGCCCCTCCCCTGCCTTGTCCTCCTGTCCAAACCTCGCGTCTGCTTCTGCAGGGAACAAACCAGTTCCCCACTGCTCCTGCCATTGAACAGAAAAAACCAAGGGATATGTGGAAGTCCTGCAAAGCAGGCAAATCTTTAGGCCGACCTGGGCTGGGTTTTAAAAAGGTTCAACAGAATCAACCAACTGCCACCTTAATATGTTGAATTCAATAACACAAAAAAATATGAGTGTCTAGAAAATTAAAAGCTGATCTCCACTTAGCTGCTATGTGTTCAGCATCAGGCAAGAAAGGAAAAAGAATCCAAATGAAACAGTAGCATATTGCTCATCCAGAAAATTTTTGACTAGAAACGCCACAAGCTGACTTTTTGAATCATCACACCAAGTACAGGGCTATGTCTGCATATAAGGCTCTGTCTGGGCCAAACTCCAAATTTCAGTAATCTCCATGTTAAATTGAGTGGTGTTTGTTCTTCCACATATTGATCTTGTGCTGCCTTTAAATTACAGAATTTTTACTATATCTTTATTTTTATAATATTTATAAATATTTTATTTAATATGATAAATACGAAATATAATATTATTCTATATAGTATTTATAATATTTATTTCTATTTATAATTTTTACTGTATTTTTAACTGTATCTTTAACTGGGAATTCTGTGACAGTAATAAATGGGTGAAAGTGGGACATTTGAGGACAACCTGCAATTAAAGAGGCACAGACACCTTCTGACCCTCTTCAGGAAGCTGTCTTGTCGGGAACAATTTGGCTTTTTTAAACATTTTTCTAGTACTTGTAGGCTGAAAGGGATTTTAGTTGCCATATCTGGAAAACACTGGGATGAAAATTACCCTGGAAAGTCCTTCTAAGACCTTTGCAAGTAAAGTTTTCCTTTGTTATATCATCAAAAAATGCTGTGTAAGAGAATGTTTGCACCTGCTGTGTCTCCCATAACTATCCTGAGCTCAGCACTGGATTTTGTGTTCCTATTTTTAAAAGCCATTTTGCTAAATAGGTGCAGAGAATGTTCCCTCTGGAAGGGGAGGGGAACAGCAGTGCAGCATTAGGGGAGCGCCCTGAACTTGGCATGCCTTGTATCAGCTGAGAGTGTGAAAGGAGGCAGATAAGAGAGCTGAATAAATTAGCATGGCTCTTGTGTGCACCGTGCTGACTTGCAACTCCCAATGTCAGTGAAGAAAAACTCTAGCGTGAATCACCTAAGGGAGAGCTGGAATCCTCTCTGAAGGAATTTATCTTACCTACTTCTTAAGATGGATCAGATAATCCTAAGGAAAATGTCTTGCTTGGCTTGCAAGCGTTGGAATAAGTGTCTGAAGAAAGAGATGGCAAAGTAGGGATATTGCAACCAGACTTGTGCCTGCTGCTTGCCAGCTCTGGAGGCCCTTTATAGAAGCCAGCAGCCTTGCCTGGAAAAAGAGCCGAGGAGTTATTGCAGCTTTCAGGAAGGCGGGGAAAACAAAGAGAAGGGAAAGCCACACAGAGCTCTTGTTTGGATAAACTATGTATGATTAGGCTGAGTGTGTTTGGGGAAAGAAGTGGGGAAAAGAAAAGTTACAGCTTAGTGATTCCTCCCCCCTCCCAGTCTTTTTTAAATACGTGTTCAGCAGCAATTCACTGCGGGCTTGTCTGTGCTTAAACTTGCCTGCTTTAATTAAACTGATCACTTAAATCAATGTTAATACCTGAATGTGTGCAAGGATTCAGTACTTTGTATGAGTTTTGTATGCCTCTTAAACTACAGAGTGGATTTAACTAGTTTGATGAATATTCCCAAGTGTATTTGGAGAGTCTAAATTACCAGCAACCAGTTTTCCCATTCTTTCTCTTTGTGTGTGTGTAAATGTTCTGTTTTGGGAAGTGTGTTGTGTTAACAGTTCATTTGGGATTATTAATGAGATTAATCTTGAAACTCTGTAAGTAATAGGAAGTCTCTCTGTGTCTTGATCTTTGAGTCTTGTCTTGATTAATGTTGATTTCTGGGAACTGGGCAAAGATACTGGGCTGGAATTCCAGGGAAAAGGAATTGCTTGCTTACTTTTGTCTGACATTTTGTAGTCTGTGTGCTTATGAAGGATCTAGAATTCGTCATTGATTTCTTCTCCAACATGAGACTGGCAAAACTGTATCTTGATGCTTGGCAAAATGCTGATCATGATGTCAG